GACTTAAATATTAATAATGAAAGACAGGACTGTAAAATAGGCACAGTGTGTGTGGGGGGGAGAGGTACTAATGGGAGGAGGGAGGGTGAAGGAAGGAGATCAAGGTGACGGTATATGGTAGGTGGACTTCATATGCCTATATGAAACAGAACTAAGACACCTCTTGCAATGGCTTTAAGTGGAATGGGAAGGGGGCTGAGGGGGAGAGACGATGGGGGCAATGTAAATAATGTACAATATAAATCTAACTAGAATTTTCATTACGAATTCCCCCCCCCACGTATAATATTATATCCTAATAAAAAATTATTTAAAAAATAGATAGGAGAAAATATTTTTCTGAAAAAATATATCCTCCAGTTCCATCCATTTTGTTAAAAATAACAGGAATTCATTCTTCAAATTATGGATGGATAATATTCCATTGTGTATGTATTCTACATTTTCTTTATCCATCTGTGAGTACCTTTCTGTTGTGAATAGTGCTGCAATAAACATGGCAGTGGTACTTGTGGGAGGGGGAGAGGGAAGGAAGGAGACTAAAGTGAGAAATATGGTAGATGGACTTCATCTACCTATATGAACTAGAGCAAAGAGACCTCTTGCAATTGCTTTAAGTGGGACAGGGAGAGGGGCAGGGGGGAGACAGAGGGGATGATCTAACCAATGTACAATATAAGCCTACTTGGAATTGTCACAATGAATCACCCCTGTACAACAAATATATCCCAATTAAAAAAAGAAAAGTAAGCCAATTATAGGTTGGGTGGAGGATTTACATATCCATTTTTCCATATCTAAAGGGCCAGCATGGGGGGGAGAAATGGCCCTGACAATGTATGCACAAATGAATAAATTAATAAAGAAAAATAAATAAATAAAGGGCCAGCAAACATGAAAAGATGCACAGACATTAGGGAGACGCAAGTCACAACTCTATGAAATGTCACACCCATGAGGACAGCTATGATAAAAAAAGCCATAACAATGAGTGTTGGTGAGGACATGGAGAAACTGAAACCCTCATATACTGCTGGTGAGAATGTAAAATTTTGCAGCTGCTCTGAAAACAACCTGGCAGAAACTCAAAAAGTTAAATGGAGTTATTACACGACCCGACCACTCCACTCCTGGAGAGAAATGCGTGCTCACAGGAAAGCCCGTATAGAGACCCTGGTAGTAATGATATCTGCAACAGCCCAATGTGCCAAAAATCCAAATGTCCATCAACTAGTAAGTAGACAAACAAAATCTGGCATAGTCACAGAATGCAATACTTTCTTGTAATAAAAAGAAATGAAAAACTGACACATGCAAGCATAGATGGATCCTAAAAACATGGCAAACACAAAAGCCTGCAAACTGTAGGATTTAATTTATGTGAGCCGGCCAGAATATTAATAGAGATAGAAAGTTTATTCAGTTGTTGCCTAGGGCTAGAAGAGGGGAGATGGGGAGTGATTTCTAATGGACTTGGGGTTTTCTTTTTTGAGATGATAAAAATGTTCTCATAGATTGTGGTGATGGCTGCACAACTCTCAGTGTAGTAAAACCATGGACTTGTACACGAGTAAGTGAATTGTGGTATGTGAACTGTATGCCAATAAATCTGTAGAAAATAATGAAATGGAATGGAACTCAAATCATAACGGCCACCACAGCAGTTACGTGTTCCAAGGTATCCCATAACTCAGCAGTTGAATAGCAAATGTGGTTTCACACAGCTTCGGAGGACCAGGAATCCTGAGTGGCTTTTCTGGATGGCTCTGGCTCTGAGTTCCTCCTGAGGCTGTAGTCATGCTGCCAGCTGATGCCACCATCCCCAGGATAGCCTTCCAAACTGATATGGCCATTGGTGGGAGGCTTAGGTCTTTGCCACATGGTCCTTTCCATGGGGACTATTCATGACATACTCCCCTCCCCACAGAGACAGAGAGACAGAGAACGCCTCAGACAGAAGTCACAGTCTTTGTACCCTAATCTTGGGAGCAACATCCTCTACTTTGGCCATATTCTTTTGGTCACAGACCAATTTGGGGACAATATACAAGGATAGAAACACCAGACCGAGGGGCTCACTGGGACCATCTTGGATCACAATTTTACACACGTTATACCACAGCAACAAATACCCAAACACACCATGGCAGGAACTGCTTATTGTCCCCCAACCCTGATTCTTCCCTTTTCTATGGTAATAGTAACGCCCTCCTCTCAATTTTTAGCTGGGCTCATGGCTGCCCACACTTAGTAAAGACTTCATTTCCTAGCCCACCTCCGGGACTAGCTGTGAACAGTTGATTAAGGTCCGACTAAAGGAAAGTAAGAGGAGGTGAGGTGTGTAACACTCTGGGGTATGTTTTTTAAAGAGAATGACTGGATCCTTCTAACTGCTTCCATCCTGCTGCTGGTAATATGATGTTTGTTGAGGGCATCTTGGATCACGAGAGCCAGGGCTACACGCTGAGGCTGCTAGAGCAGAAATCTTCTAGAAGCAACCTGTGTTCCAGAGGAGTGCTGGTTTCCGGTACTAGATTGATGGTTTTTAATTGCAGATGGGCATATTCTCCGCTGTTTAAGGATCTGAATAATGGGCAGAAGCTGCTGCTGGAGCGTCTGCCCACAGTAAGCCCCACTACAGTGAGCAGACCTCGCCATGGCGCTGCAGCTCGCCCAGGAGCGAGGAATCACCCTGCGCGGCAGTGCCGAGATCGCGGCGGATTCTTCTCATTTGGCATCAACAGCATTTTGTATCAGCGAGGAATATATCCTTCTGAAACCTTTACTGGAGCAGAAATATGGACTCACTTGCTCGTCACTACTGATCCTGAGCTCATAAAATATCTTCATAATTGGTGGAACAACTGAAGGGTTGGCTATACAGTGTTCTGTTCAGAAACTGGTGGTAGCTATCTCAAATATTGAAAGTGGTGAGGTCCTTGAAAGATGGCAATTTGATACTGAGTGTGACAAGACTGCAAAAGAAGAAAGCACTCCCAGAGAAAAGTCCCAGAAAGCTATCCAGGATGAAATCCGTTCAGTGATCAGACAGATCACAGCTACAGTTACATTCCTGCCACCATTAGAAGTTTCTTGTTCTTTTGATCTGCTGATTTATACAGACAAAGATTTGGTTGTACCTGAGAAATGGGAAGAGTCTGGACCACAGTTCATTACCAATTCCGAGGAAGTTCATCTTCGTTCATTTACTACCACAATCCACAAAGTGAATAGCATGGTGGCCAACAAAATTCCTGTCAATGAGTGAAGGGTAAAAGGTCAGAAGAAAAGAAGGATTGGACTCAAAATGAAGGTTTTACAACTCTTCTGATACCCGTGGGTTACAGAGAAGAACCGTAAAGCAAAAACCGTGAAGAAACACTCTAGAGAGAGAGAAAGTGAGAGAATCCTTACAAAGTGGGCAAGGAGGAGTTTAAACGTCACATTGCTCTTTGCATGCATTATCTCCATCTTCACACAGTCCTGGAAGGGCTTTTATCTCCATGTTACAAATAAAATAATTTACATTCAGGAACAATAATCCGGAATGTATTCCCAAAAAAAAAAATGATCTGAATAATGTAAGTATACAGGAGAAATAATAACGTACAGGAAAGCACACCAGCACATAGTGCTGGCCTGTGTTTAGAGACTGAGTATCCTGAAAAGGCAGTTGTCTTCAAATTAACCTCTAAATTCAATGGACTTTTAACCAAAATCCTGACAATATTTCCTGCAGAATTTGCTAAGTTGACTCTAAAATTCACCTGCAAGGTAAAAGTCCAAGAATAATCCAGACACTTTTGGAGGACTAGTAAGAAGGGTGACTTTAAAGCAGACTTATTATTTAAAAATTAAAATAGGAGGATGTACAGCTCAACTGTGCCTGAGTTGTGACATTTAATTAAATAGAAAAAAATATTTATACCGAGTTTGACAGATGTTAACATTTATTATGCTTGCAATACTTGGGTACATGGGTGTTTATTTCTCTGACTTCAGTTTTGAAACAACTCATAATACAAAATAAATAAAGATAAAATACCTGGTGGGAGAAGATTAAAAGAAAGAAGGAAAGAAGGAAGGAAGGAGGGAGGGAGGGAGGGAGGGAGGCCCTGCTGTGGGCCTCACCATGAGGACTGATTCAAAGGTTTTTCCTCAGTTTCCTTGCTGTTGCATCTCCTACAAAAAAGACAGAGAAACAGCAACAGAGCTTAGAAGCAGGAAGTCTGAATTTACATCCTGTTCCCCTGCTTACCATGTGACCTTGGGCAAATTTGCAACTTCTGAGTCCCTGTTTTCCTTATCTGGATAATGGGATAAAAGACCTATTGCAGATGACTGTCTTGAGGTCATCTTATGAAACCTGCCCTTGGCACATCTGACAAAACTTCTCTGCACACATTTGCAAGATGATAAAAGAACTCAACTGCCATGTAGAAGAGAAGAAAGTCAAAGCTTTCAGACAAGTACTGTTGAGTTCAAGGATACAAATGGCTGAAATGTTGAAGCTGGGGCTTCTTTGCTCTTGAGTCAGTAATGCTTTGTCTACACCTGTGGAATCTAACTTTCTTCAGCCAGCCTTAAACACTTTTGGGACAGTGTAAACTCTGATTCTGTTAGCGTGTGACCAGGTAGTGTTCTGCTTGCTGTGTGTGGTATGTGCTCTTACCATGGCCAGAGGAATAAGAAACTGTGAAGTTGTTGGTTTCACCTTGGCCTTTACCTTTAAGGTCATGCACTAGGGAAAGGGTAAAACAGTTACTAACTAAATTCTCAAATTCTTTGAGATGAGGAGAAAAATGCCAGAATCACCTGAAGGTTATTGTTCTTTTATGATGTCATCATCAACACTATCTAAATGGTGATACTTGATGTGGAATGGTGACTTCTAAGGGAAAAATGGAATATGATTTTGGAAAATTATTATTTGATGAATGTTCCTAAATACTTCATTTCTAAATATTTCTTCCTGTTCTCCCCTCTCTTCATTCCGCTAGGAAAGGCACCGATGCCCAGACCTGGCTACAAACCTCAGGAGCCCAATGGCTGCAGCTCCTATTTCCTGGGTCTCAAGATACCAGGAAGTGTAGGTACCGCCACTGTTATTTTCTTGATTGACGGGTTTTCTGGAATCGAATCAAGCCATGTAATTAGGAATTTAAATTGGATCTGGAGGAAGGGAAAGAATTTTCAAAGATTCCTGACTTCTTTCTCAGAGGCAGCTGTCCCTCAGAAAAGCTTCTGATAGTGGATCAGAACTTGGAAATCACCAATGACATTAGCTTAAACATAATTTAAGCTGGGTGCCGGTGGCTCATACCTGTAATTTTAGTTACTTGGAAGCTGTGATCAAGAGGATCATAGTTCGAGACCTGCAGGGCAAATAGATTGTGAGATCCCATCTCCAAAATAACCAGAGCAAAATGGACTGGAGGTGTGGCTCAAGAGGTAGAGCACCTGCTTTACAAGTACAAGGCCCTGAGTTCAAACCCCATACCAACAAAAGAAAACACCGTAATTTAAAATAGATCTGCCAGGGTTGACTTATCAGTGAGCCACTCCAGTGATGGACTGAGCCGGCTGGAACTGGCCAGATCAGCTTGATTTCCAGGCACTGACTTCACACCGATAGCGCCAGACCAAGTTAATGTGGCGTTCTGACATTGTAGAGACCTGCATTCACCCACCAGGCTGCTTGTGAACATTTGTTAGCATACCACAGGCCCTTTCTCAAACCATTGACCTCTCCTAAAAACAAGCGATGAGTTAATATTTCTTTTTAAGACTTCTCCGAAGCCCTTTGACCTTCCCTTTAGAAAAGACAGAACTGTAAAATGAGGCTAGAGAGAATTCATATGTAACCTATGCTCTTGAACTATGTCTTAATAAGGCTACCCTTCATTTTTATGCTGCTTCAAGAATTTTTACTTTGCAATAATTTTCTTTTGGAGCAGGTCAGTGGGGAAGGGAAGAAAGGGTCTCTCTCACTATGTAACCCAGGCTAGCCTTGAACTCAATCCTTCCTACCCTTTCCTAAGTGCTTAGATTACAGACGGGTACCACCGTGCCCTGCTACTGTTCAGTAATTTTCTAAGTGATATAATGTTTATTCTTCTCATTGAAATACCACTCACTTACATGGCATTTCCATGCAGATTATAAAAGATACACTTTCCTCAGGATGATTTTCTCCTGTCTGTCAGAAATGTGTCTTAATATGCGGATTTAGTTAGACAAACAAACTTGACTGCTGGCTGGATATTTTTCTTAATCAACACATAAATCTAATGTCTCAGAGGAAGATGCTCCCTAAATATGGCTCCCTTGTGCCTTGTACAACCTGTGTGCCCAGTCTTGTCCATAATCACGTTTATATTAGAGAGACCACACATTTTTCAGCCATGAATGTAATAGCTATGGAAGTGGCACGCACACTGTTATCTAGAACTAGCTCATGAATTTTAATCAAATTGAATGGTGGCCTCTGCCCTCATGTAGTTTACAGCTACCTCTGACCTGATGCCTTTTTAGTTTTGGGGCCAAGGCAAGGCCCCAAAACCTTGCCTTGGCCCTGATTTCTTCAAGTATCAAAAGGGAATTTATCCATAACTGTAGCACCCAGGCTTGTGCCTCATCTAATGATTTGGATTATCTCCTAATTCAGTAATGCTTTTTGGCTTAAAGGGGCATTTTAAGCTGTGAAAGTCCTTATTCTGCTTTGGTGGCCTTGGAATCAAAGATGCCCAAATGCAAAAGACCTGTAATTGCTGATAATCATCCCTTGGCCATACCCTGAAACCAGATTTGCATAGCTTTCATCCAAGCCCAAGTCTAAGTTATCAGAAAAACTGCAAGAGATTCTAAGCTGCATTCTGTCTTGATTCACCCTGCTGCATTCTGTCTTGATTCACCCTGCTCCAATCTATTTCATATGCCAGACAGTGACCTCTCCCCTTTGCTATTTTCATTGTATCCCCTCCTTGCTCAAGATTCCTTACTGACTCTAGTTACTTTGGAAGTCAAGGCTATTTGTCAATTTGCCATTCTCCATAATTAAAAAATTTGGGGCTGCACCTGCATCCCAGCTAGGTGGGAGGCACAGTTAGGAGAATGGAGGTTCATGCCAATCTGGGCAAAAAATTGAGACCCTATCTGAACAATAACAAAATAAAAAAAAGGACTGGAAAAGTGGTTTAAGTGGTAGAGCACATGCCTAGCAAGCACAAGTCCCTGAGTTCAAATCCCAATACCACCAAAAAAAGTTTTGTTCTGTCTTGTAGTGCTGGAGTTCAAATTGAGACTTACATGTTAACTATCCCGAGCTATACGCAAGGTTTTTCTATACACACACACATACTCGCACACACACACACACACACACACATACTTTCCTGCTAAGATCTTTGGAACACTAAACAAACTGACTTGCTCCCATGTGATCTGTCCAGTTCCTTTCTCCATGTGCCCTTTGCTGAGTCTACCCTTACTCCTCGTAATCCTCTCCTGGTATTCTTTCAAGACCCTCTTCAAAAATATTCCTGTTTTAAAACATGTGGCATTTGTGATCTTGCTCAGTTTATGCCAAAATGCTCACAACTGCTTATAGGAGACTTCCACATGCACGTGTGTGTGTCTGTGTGTGTACACACTTACAAACCAGACTCCTTGTGGTCGGGAGCTGTGCACTCTGCACCCTCCTTTGCTCCTGACACGTATGCACACCTTAAAGTGCTGGAGATCAGATGAACTGAGGCGAATTTTTCTAATTCTTAGTCTTAGAATCCTTTTCTCAAACAGAGTATCAGGTGGAAATGTTAACTTTTAATTGAATGTGGATGTCCTGAAGCTCTGTCCTTTTGACTTCCCTTCTGGTCTCTGTTTTTATCACCATAGCTGCCTATGGGTTTGAAAATTACCGACATCTCAAAGAAAAATGGGCCAGAGTCACTTAATAAACTCATAGCTAAATGATAATCAAAACTTAGCATCCTGTGACTCAGAATGTCCCACCAAGCCCTCCATGTTTCTGGGTTGATCTGAGTAGGTGACAGCCAGTTGAGAACTGGCTAATCAATACTGAGGTGGGCAAAGCTGCCCGAGGTCCTTGGTCTAAACGTGGCATTTTCTTCCTCCTGCTTTCTCCCTCCCTTTCACAGATGGACCTGGGCATTCCAGCAATGACCAAGTGCTGCAACCAGCTGGATGTCTGCTATGACACTTGTGGTGCCAACAAATATCGCTGCGATGCAAAATTCCGATGGTGTCTCCACTCCATCTGCTCTGACCTTAAGCGGAGCCTGGGCTTTGTCTCCAATGTGGAAGGTAGGTCTCTTAAGGACATTTACGGGTGACAGGGAGTTTTGCTCCTGTTTCCACACAGAGAGGTAGCCAGGGCCTCTTCACTCAAAGCGATCATCCGAGCTCACTGAGCTTGCTTTCTGGAATGCTGTGCCCAGCTCAGGAAAGGTGGGGCAGAGGCTGAGCTCTGCTTCACTAAAGTTCTTTCTGTGCTGCCCACAAACTGCTGGCACAATGCCTGGTGGAAAGGACCATCCCAATGCCTTCCAGGGAAATAAGAATCGTCCTTTAAGACTGGAGAAAGAGTTGCCCAGCTGGCCTGGGCTACCCATTCCACAGTTAAATAATTTTCCATATCAGCAGTTACTCTACGTAGGACTACTTGGTTTGGCTTAAGCCCCTTTCTTCATATTTTGTCTGGGTAGCAATTTTTTAAAAAACCTCTTTTAAAAATTGTTTATATATTTATTCATATGTGTATACATTGTTTGGGCCATCTCTCCCCCCTGCCCCTCAGCTCCCCTGCCCCTCAGCCCCCCTCCCCCTCACTTCCAGGCAGAACCTGTTCTGCCTCTTCTCCAATTTTGTTGAAGAGAAAACATAAGAGATAATATGAAAGACAGCATTTTTGCTAGCTTGAGATAAAGATAGCTATACAGAGAGATTCCTAGCATTGCTTCCATGCACATGTGTATTGCAATCCAAATTGATTCATCTCTACCTGACCTCGTCACTACTTCCTAGTCACCTTCCCATAGTGGCCTCTGTCAGTTTAAGATTACTTTATTCACTCTACAGTGGTTACATCAACCACTTTCAAGTTTTAGGTAAAAACCTCTCTTTTTATTTGTAAATATACTTGAGAATAATTATTTTTCAACACTACTTAACTACTCAGTGTCTAGCACTGACTCTGAAATCTTTTTTTCCCTAATTTACTTAGGAAAAGTTTAAATCTCTCAGTTTCTGAAGCCAGGTATCATTAGCATCTAAATATTTAGATGGTAAAGGTTGAAATTCAGGCTTACAAAGACTGGCCCTGTGCTACTGAGCATGCCTGCAAAGAGGAATGGTGAGAATGATTCATAGATCAATGTCTAGAGTGTAGTCCTCAAGTAAATGCGTGATAGCTGGGGATATGAATAATTAATTGGGCCCTGTAAAAGGAGATCTGTTCTATCTTGTGTCTACAGAGGCTGAAAAACAGCTTGCTGCTAATCTAAGGTCAGGTCAAGTTACTTCCTCTAAACCGTGTCCTATTGGTTCTTTCTCCTAAATATTTCTCTGCTTTCCACTTGCCTGGTTACTGCAAATTAACCCTGTCTCCGTGTTCCTTCCAATCCATTCTCTCCACTGGGACCAGCTGTATATACCTGTGAATTTGATTGTCCCTACCCCCAGGACAAGTCATTCCATGGTTTTCCTTTGGTTTGACATGCCTGCCCTTCCTGATTCAGCCCTAGGCTACCTCCTCCAGCATCACTTTGGATAGTCCAGGTTCCTCTCTGGACTCCTGCCACTACACACTCTGTGGGGGCTGGGGGGGTGGTCCATACCTTCCTGTCCCTGCAGTTCCCTCTGCTTGAAACACCCTGGTCATTCCTTTGCTGGTTGTGTCAAAACACCTTGTTTGAGTTGTAATTTGTACATAACTCACCCACAGAAATGCTTGTTGAGTATGTTCCCAGAGTTAATCAACCCCATGATCAATTTTAGTGCATACTCATCCCCAAAAAGGAACCCCATAGCCATTAGTAGTCCTTCCCCTAACTACCCCTGCTCAAGTCAAGGCACCACAAATATACTTTCTTCCTCTGTAGATATGCCCATTCTGGACATTTCAAATAAATGGAGTCATATGATAGGTGTTCTCTGTGCCTGACTTCTTTCACTTAACGTTTCTCTATACTGTACCAGTGCTTCATTCCTTCGTATCGCTCACTAAAATTCCACGTGTGGCTTTAGCATATCTTCTCCAGCCATTCATCAGCTCCTGGAGATTTGCATCGTTTCCATCCTTCGATGGTTGCTATGAAGATTATGTAGAAGCTTTGGTGAGGGACTACGTGTTCATTTCTCTTGGACACATATGTCAGAGAGAAACTGCTGGTATTCGTATGTAATTCTATGTTTATCTGGAGATTTGCCAAACTGTTTTCCCAAACAGCTGCACCATTTTATATTCCCACCAGCAGTGTATAAAAATTTATCCATAGTCTCACCAACGCTCAGTATTATCCATCCTTTGTATTACAGTCCATAGAGCGTGTGAAGTTATATTTCACCATGGTTTTGATTTGCAGCCCCCTGACACTTAATGGGCAAGCGTCTCGATGCGTGTTGACCATTGACTATGTGCTTGGGAGAAATGTCGATTCAGATCCCTTTGTTCCCTTTTGATTGGGTTGTTTGTCTTTTCTACTGAATTCTAAGAGTTCTTTATTTCCTGTCCTCCGATAGATACATGATCTACAAATGTTTTCTCCTACTGCTGCTTTTTCTCCCACTTTCTTGTATGACAGGAATTTAGCATTTTGATTAAATTCAGTTTATTCATTTATTTTTCTTTTGTTACTTCTATTTTTGGTGTGATATGTAACAATAAGGCTTTGCCTACCCACGGTCAAAAGATTTACTCATGTTTTCTTGTAAGAGTTTTGTCCTTTTTACTCTTACATTTAAGTCTAGATTCATTTGAGTTAATATTTGTCTGTGATGTGAGAAAGGGGATCAACCTCATTCTTTTCTCTGTTGATACTCAGTTGTTGAAGCACCATTTGTTGAAAAGAATATTCTTCTGTTGCACTCTGTTGAAAATCAGTTGACCACAAGGATAAGCACTTATTTCTAGATGTTACATTTTATCCTATTGAGCTACGCAAGTACCATACTCTCTTTACTGTAGTTTGTAGTAAATTTTGAAATCAAGAAGTGTCCTTAAATCTTGTTCTTTGTCAAGATTGTTTCTAATATGCTGGACCCCTTACATTTCCATTGAGTTTTGGGGTCTTGAATTTCTGCAAGAAATGACAGTTGTAATATTGATAGGGATTTTTTGAATCTGCAGATCAAGTTGAGGAATAAACTTGAACAAAATTATGTTTTCTGATCAATGAGCATAAATGCCATTCTGTTTATTTAGGTCTTCCTTAATTTCCTTTCATAATGTGTGATGGTTTTTATGGCACAAGTCTTGTACAATGTCCCCTTTTAGCTTTAGTTAATTTGGGGATAGGGTCTCACATTATGCCCAGGCTAGCCTGGACCACTATCCTACTATTTGTGCTTCCCCCATGGCTGGGATGACAGGTATGTAACACTGCACCCAGCCATTGGTTGACATAGGGGTCTCATTAACTTTTTACCTAGGCTGGCCCCCATACCACAACCCCCTACAGATCTGTGCCTCCTGGATTCCAGGCTTGAGCCACCATGCTTAGTCCCCATTTTAGTCTTTTTGATACTATTATAAATGGAATTGTTTTCTTGATTTTATGCTCATGTCATATATTGATAATGTATACAAATACAATTGATTGATTGTATATTGACCTTATATCCTGCATCCTGAAGTGATTTATCACTTGAATAGATTTTTAGTGGATTCCTTAGGCTTTCCTGTATATGAGATGTCATCTGCTCTCATTTTCCTTTCTAAGTGAATGTCTTTTCTTTCTTTCTCGTGCCTAGTTGCCTTGGCTGGAACGTCCAATACAGCATTGAATAGAGGCGATGAGTGGACAGTCTGGTCTTCTTACTTGCCTCAGGGTAAAGCATTAGTCTTTCACCATTCAGCATGATTATTAGCTGTGGTTTTTTCTAGATGACTTTATCAGGTTGTAGAAGTTCTCCTCTTTTTCTAGTTTGTTGTTTCCATCATGAAAAAGTGTTGCATTTTTTAAAATGTCTTTTGCATCATGTGGTATTTGTTCTTTATTCTATTGATATATATGTTATTATATTAATTGATTTTATCATGTTAAACCAACCTTGCATTCCTAAGATAAACGCTGCTTGGTCATGGTGTTAATTCTTTTTATTTCATGTTACTGAATTTGTTTTCTAGTAGGATTTTTGTTTGTGTTTGTGGTGCGGGGTTTGAACTCAGGGCCTGTGCTAGCTAGGCCATCTGAGCCACACTCCCAGCCCTCTTTGCTCTAGTTATTTTCAGATAAGGTCTCACGCTTTTTGCCCAGGCTGACCTGAGACCAAAATATCTCTACCTCTACCTCCCACATAGCTGCATCTACAGGCACATGTCATCACACCTGACTTGTTTGCCATAAAATTTGTCCTTTTACGATGTGTGGTTCAGTGGGTTTTTCGTATATTCAGAGCTATGTAACCATCAGCATAATCTAATTATAAAATATTTTCATTAGCCCCAAAAGAAACACCAAATCTGTTAGCACTCACTCCTTATCACCTCCTCCCACATCTCCTAGCAACACCAATCTACTTTCTGTTTCTATGGACATTTCACGTAAACAGAATTACACAGTATATGGGCCTTTTGTGACTGACTTCTTTGACTTAGTGTAATGTTTGCAATACTTTATTTTTGCGACCATTCTTGAAGTTTAAATGTCTTATTTCCTCTGAGTTGCCATCCCTAAGAGCCATGCCCCCAAAGGGACAGTAACCCTCTCTGTGGGTTCCCACACCACCTCGGGGTCACTTTCATCAGGGTGCAGTGTAACTATCTGTTGCCTTGTCCGCCCTGATCACCTCCTGGTGAGGTCCTTGAGCTAAGGATGGTCTTGTGTCTCCATCACTGGCTGACCAACGAATTTAACACACACATATGTTTTCAATCGATAAGTGATTTGCATCCCATACTTGAATAGGGAAAGCTCAGAAATCAGAGGTGGTGTCTGAGGGAGTATTTGCACAATGGTGTGAGCATAATGGTATGGGAGATTGATTATTTTGACTAGGGATCCTTCTTTATTGGATTGGATGGAATTTTCTGGAGAAGATTCTCTTAAGTATAGGCTTAAAAAAAAGTTCTCTATTCAGATGACTGCCTCTACTTTTCTCTGTGTGTTGTGTCATTTTTGGAGACACACTGCCTCTTCACACTTCTGCTATGTGGGCTAGTCCTCTCTTGACATTTATGATTCTCCTCGTCTTTTTCAAGTAGCCTGCGATTCCCTGGCTGATACTGTGTTCAATACTGTATGGACCTTGGGCTGTCGACCTTTTATGAATAGTCAACGGGCAGCTTGCATCTGTGCAGAAGAGGAGAAAGAAGAGTTATGAGGATGAATCATCCTCACAGTTTTGAGTGATACCTTGGCTGTCTCAGAGACAGTAGCACGGCAGATGTGTGTCATCCTTTCTTCCAACAGTTTGGATACCACAAAGCAGGAGAAAGAAAACAGCAAGTCTTATCCTTTGAGGCAAGCTGAGAAAAAGGTGTGGCGAGATCAAAGACTGTTGTTCACCTTAACAATGGTCTCCCTAACGAAGACACGTTTGCCTGGGAGTTCTCTTCTTAGCTTACAGACTAGATGGCCAGCAAATCCTGCAATTCCAAGACCCAATTATTATGACCATAGCAAAATTATGGGGAGTCCAACCATTTGGGAGACAGTGACTTTCCTCTGGCCCATGTTCCAGTTGCCAGTGAGCACCTCACATTTAATAAAGTGTACTTTTTAGAAAATTTGAAAAGAGATGAATGAATTCCATGTTCACCTATGTTTCCATTTCACTTAGAAGAGGACAGAACCCCACCTGGTAAGTTCCACCAATGGTAAAAATGATTCCCACTGGTGCTAGAGAGATAAAGACAGGTGGAGAGGGAAGGCTTACCTGATGGAGACGAAGGTCAGGTGGAATCAGGGCTCTGTGGTTCTGGTTCTCCCTCCAGTGGCCTGTTCCGTTGGTATTCCCAGACACTAAGCCATGTTTGAGTCGGTGCTAAGTCTTCAGATGCATTTGGTCAGGGCTGGGGAAAGTTCCTGCCAGCTCTGGGGATTGAGGGACAAATGCCTTTTGGTAACTGTTGCGCTCAGCCTTGATCGTGGATTAGTACCACCTGAGGACAGTTTAAAGCAAGCCAGTGAGGACTCAGGCTGGTGGCAATGCACTGGCATTTATTAGTGCCCTCCAGGCGATTCTGATGCCTGGGGAAGGCTGAGGGCCACTCATCTAGATCAGGTATTGTCCAGCTAAGTCCCAAGGTCCACATTTAGTCCAAAGCCTGTTTTTGAACAGTTCTTTGGAGAACAGCCGCGCTCACATTCGCTTGCCTTGCGTTTGTTTGCAGCTGCTCTTGCCCCGTGACCTTAGGGCCAAGTTGTGACAAGGACGGGATGGCCAGAGAGCCTAAAACATTTTCAGATCAGCCCTTTACAGAAAAAAGTTGCTGACCTCCGCCGAAATCATTTGCTCCTTCCCTGGCTTTTGTTAATTTCACGGGTTCCATTTAGTGGCCATCATTGTAGCCACTTCTAACAAGCAAAAGGGAAACTTTTTCGGGTGTGATGTAACATTAATTGCTGTATCAAGGAATTGGATTGAACTGCAGGTAACATTGAGCTTTGTGGTTTATATTTATTTCAATAAAATTTATTAAGCACCTGCAAAATAGAGTACGGAATAATTATATGCCTTTTCCTATTGTCTTGCTGACCTGCGGGCACCAAATACCAACACACAGGACAAATGGGACCACACTTTGTTTATAGTTCAGTCATTGAACCAGTTAAATGCATGTTGATGAATTTATTAATATTTGTTAAGTGAAAATATTTCACTTTAGGCAATATGAAGACATCAAAAAAAATAACATGCAAGAGAAAAACCAAACAGCATTTTCTTATTACACATGGTTTTATTGATAAAGTTCCAAAGCTCCTATAACTGTTTTGTGTTTGAATTGAAATTTTAGGGTATAATTTTACTTAGACATTTAGGGAGCCATTGGGTATTTAAGTCATAATTTTAGTAGCAATTTAATTTTTTAGGTTGCAAACTTGAAATATCATATCCAGCTTCTAACTTGCTTCATACTTAATCGTAGGAAAGAAATGGGGGAGATGGAGTGAGCTCCCTTCTCGGCTGTCCACATCAGGAAGCCGGAGCCCCACCCAGGCCACATTGGCGGGCAGTGCTGTGACCTGACCAATGCAGGGACCAGCATCAGTGAGTCCGCTCTGGGCGTTTGTCTAGCCTCACAGTACGTGGTTATACGAAGGCAGGCCTTCTAGGAGGTTCTCCGATGTTCTGCACAGCATGGGGAGAAGTTCCAAACAGGCCAGCCTGTAGCCGGGCCTAGTCCTCCCAGTCGATGTGGATGGGGCCGCCCGTCAGCGTCTGGCTCTCCAGACCAGCCCAGTCCTCATCGGCCCCTGCCTGGCGACGCACTCGCCGGTGGCATCCCTGGGCGCAGCGGGAACGCTCGTCCAGCATTCCACAGACCAGGACCTGGCAGTGCAGAAACACCTCCTGAAAAGATGGCAGTGATCCTTAGTGAGAACATCGTGGGCAACAGCTAGAAGCCAGACACCAGCTGGTGTTCCACAAGCATTCTCTCGCCTAATCCTAAAGGCAGCACTCTGCTGCATTTTGCAGATGAGGAAGCTGAGGCTTAGGATAGGGAACGTGCCCAATCCACGCATTTAGTAATGTGGCCAAGTTGGGGTTGGAGTCATGAGGGCGATTTAAAACTTAGACCTATAACTTCCGCATTGGCCTGGGGCAGAAGAGATGTGTTTGTGCAGCAGTGTCTCACAAAGAAGTTAACATCTTCATTCTCCATGGCAAGGGCTGGGAATAACACTGGCTGCTTGCACTTCTGTTGTGAAATGACAAATCCTTTCTGTAAGGAAAGGCTCACACCTAACAGAGGAGGGAAGTGGGGGTTAGCCATCACCGTCAGCACTTGTTCTGGGGTAATGACAGAGGAAAGCAGTGATATGAAGGCAGTGTGAGAAAGAATGTTGGCCTCTTGAACTTTCTGTTGTTTAAATGTTTCTAGGACTATTAAAATAACGAAACTTCTGCCTTGTCACATGGTAGCCTTTTTGGGAGAGCCCCTTATAACCTATATCTATGGGAATATGTGGTTTTTGTTTGTTTGTTTGTTTTTTAAACTGTAGCATGTTCAATATACAAATAAACTGTTAGGGCAATAGTTTTTTATGTCCACCTTTCCCATGTTTATCATTTTAACAATGGCTTAATATTGCATTAAGTTGATACATTGTGGCCCTTGGTTTAATTTTTTGAGAACTTTTTGTTTTCTTTTGGCTTTTATCACCTTAAAACAATGCTCTACACACACATTCAACAAATCATTTTTTTTGGTTTTTTTGTTTTTGAGAAACTGCCAGAATTGGACTTGTTAAAGAATTATGATGATATTGTCAGATGACTTTCTAGAAAGTGTACCAATTTTTATTGCCAGTGTATATGTCTTATAACTTTGCAAGCATTGTAATTTTTAATTTTTATAAATTTAATAAGTATAAAGTGGTATCTTAAAGTTGGTATTTTTAGGCCCTGTTTTTATTTCCCATCTCGATACTTGTTTTTTTCTGTGAATTTCCCACCCTATCCTTTGCTGTGAAACTGACTGACTGCCACCATGGGGGCCCTGCTATATAACCCAGTCTGGCCTTGAACTTGGGCTCCTCTTGCCTCCACTTCTGAATACTAAGATTACAGGTGTGTACCACCATGCCTGGCTCTGCAGTGGCTTTTTCACCCCTACCTGCCCACAATGACTTCTAATTATGAGCCTATTGTAGTCTCTTTGAATAAGCACTGTTGTTTTGTGTGTGTGGGGGGGGGTGGGGGTGATAACTGTGACATGCATGATGGCATTAAACCTCTCTACCAGTTTCACCGTGTTTTTCCCAGAGGTGAAGCAGATCCTTACACTGGGCTCTTAGAATGTCAACACCCTCGGACACCAAGAAGCATGGTTTAGGGCCTGGATTACGAGATGCTTATGTTCAGCTCACCTTGTGGTCTTTGCCCACAAACTTGAAGACAGGGACCTGGAAGTGCTTTGCTAGGTGATCTCGGGATGAGTACTGCTTCACTGAGTCATCAGAAATGCAGCTGAAAGCAGGAGAGACAGCAGATGAGACCTGGTCATTTCCACAGAGGTGGGAAGCAATTCTGTCCAACACATTTGGCTTAAGGAGAGGGACAATGGGTGGAGCAGGCTGGGCTGCACTTCAGCTTTTGGAGAATGAAGGAAGGAAAAATGAAATCCCCTCCAGTGAAGGCATCTTCAGACACACCCTACTCACTATGACCACACCACTCTTCACCTGCTGACCCCACAACTGGTACAGCACTTCCTGCTCCATTAACTGGTTAAGTATTAGCAATATGTACAACATTCGTTTCAGAGACCTGTGGCTGAAGGCTATCTCTTTATTTGTGATACATTGCAGGAATTCTGACTTTGTGTAGTTTATTATTGATTGAATAATTTATTAAATTATTAAATTTAATAAGTGGTAACTGGACAGTACCAGACACAAACCACTGAAGGGGCTGTAAGGGGAAAAAACCACAATACATATGTCAAGGAGCTGCAATCTGCACCTAAGTTTCTTATGGAATAACCAGTTTTCTTGGGGAGCAGTCATTCACCTGGAAGTCTTTTAACTCCTCTTTTCTCAAATGTATTGGTAAGCTGCAATTTGATAGGGTTTGGAGACTTCATCGTAGGTCTACTGCTTACAGTGTAATTTCCAGATTCACCTCGGGGCTAGCTTGGAAAGGGAGTTATTGATGCCCCTCACTGGGACCACACCTTTAGATATTGCTGAATATTTTTTCCTGAAAGGCCAAGGGTCACCATTCCAAATTCTAAAGGAACTTTTTTTTCCTGGTCAGAGTTGCCTTTTTATGAATACTTAAATAGTTTTTTTTTCCCCAGTGGGCCAGGAGAAAAGTGGGAGTCAGATATAAAAGCCTCTGAAACAAGGTTCTCACAACACATGCTCACAAAACCACTTTCTAGTTATTGCTAACTGCTGTCTTGGTGCTGTTAAAAATATAATGAAGTTGTTTAAAAGGAAGGCATCATGACTGGCATTATTGCTAGACTTTATTCTACCACACTGGAAAGGATCTAAATTGATGATGTGGGTTTTTGCTGTTTCTTATATTTATCCATTCTTATTTCCTGAGATAAAATTAATTTATACATCTTATGCTTTATAATAAACACCATTTGCACATCTGGATGTGGGTAGGATCCTCCCTGGGTGCCACATCGAGCATGAGTACCGCTTCGATGGGGAGGCAGCTCAGCGGGGCACTGGCCTAGCATGACCAAGGCCCTGGCTTGCTCCCCAACACCCCCCCAAAAGATGAGTAATATGGTCTGTAATGGGCAAGGAGTTTACAGTCTACCATGTAGGATAACAACAGCAACACTTGATCTTGATAATAAAATGGTACCTTCATCTGAATGTTTCAGCGTTTTCAATTTATCTAAAAATACCATATTTTTCTTTAAAAAAGAAAATAAGGCAGAGAGGGTTACTAGAAGGGAATACACTAAGAACAGAACCAGGACAAATTTTGGCTCCTGACTTGGTTTTTGCTGCGATTAGACAATGCTAGTTCTGACAACTCCAAGTTCATGTGCTGAAAGAAACAGGGCATCGGAGAATCCACAGTAATTATTTATCAAATATTTATCAAACTTTGTTCAATACTTGGTTTTAGTATTGAATTTTCTTTTTCTGAAGATTCACTTTCTAATTATAGTTTGCTTGGGCTGGTATTAAATTATTTTGCATTCTCAGAGACATACCAACTAAAACTAGAAAGAAGTGAGTTGGATCTGCTCGATAGCAGAGGGATACCAGCCTGATTTAAATCTAAGCTGAGGACAATGAATACCTTTTAAAATGAGCAATAAAACAAAATATATATAAAGTGTATGATGTTTACTCTAGGTTTGTTCATTGGCCTCATTACTATTAAAAACACTCATCCAGTAGTTAGCTTGCAAATATTTACTGGGCCTCCCCCGCCCCACACTCACACACTCTCTTTGCTAAGCTTGAGGAAGAAGGGAAAAGAAAGAGGCTTCTAGTTCACCACAGGATAGAATCAGGGAAGGCTTCATGGAGTAAAAAAGCCCTTCAGAGTCTTGAAGGGCCAGAAAGAATCCGACAGGAAAAGAAAGTTTCAGGCAGAGGAAATAGTATGTGCTACGTCAGGAGGCTGCAAGGAACACCAATTTAGGAACTGTCAGTAATTCCCTCCAGCAGAAGCAGAAACTGAAGAAAGCTAGGGTCAGAGGGTGAGGCCAGTGAGCCAGGCTGAGTCAGGTTATCTCCTGAACCTTGCTCTTGTCTGTCACTGTGCATGGCAGTTTGCTTACAAAATAGGCCCACTCCTGTGGTTTTTCAGTTCTTGCCTTTGCTTCTTTCTTTTTTTTTTTTTTGTGGTATTGAGGTTTGAACTCAAGTCCTCAAGAATGTTAGGCTCTACCACTTCAGCCATGCTCCCAGCCTAGCTATGCTCTCTGCCACACACACATTTCTCTTTTGTGTGTACTAAGGGTTAGAAAAATAAATAGTGCATTTTCTTAGAATGGCCTAAACAAAGGGAATAGTCCTTCATTGAGAGTCTAAATAACAAATATGTAAGCAAATTTCATAGCATTATTGAGATTGCAGGTTACTCATTCCTAGTAAGGGAGTTGTAATTATATATATATATATATATATATAATATTTTTTTTTAAAGGTAAATAAGAGGGACAGGAGAAAACATTCCAGGTGAGAGAAACGTCCATTATCTTGATTACAGAGGTGGTTTCAGAGAGTATACTCCAGAACTTACAAACCATACACTTTAAATACATCCAATTATTATATGTGAAGAGTATTCTTTTAAAGCAGTGAAAAAACAACAACAACAAAAAAAAACAATTAAAAGGAACAAAAAGTCCATGCCCCTCAAAAGTAAATCTAGCTGGGAGCCGGTGGCTCACGTCTGTAATCCCAACTACACAAGAAGTAGAGATCAGGAAAATCTTGGTTCTGGACCAGCTGGGGCAAATAGCTTGCAAGACCCTATCTTGAAAAAATCCATCATAAAAAATGGCTAGCGGAATGGCTCAAGTGGTAGAGTGCCTGCCTAACAAGTGTGGGGCTCTGAGTTCAAACCTCTGTACTGCCACAAATGACAATACTAAAAAAGGCATGGCTCAAATGTTAGAACACATGCCTAGCAACCAGGAGGCCCTATTTCAAACCCCAATATCACAAACAGGAAAAAAAAGATAAATTTTTAATGATGCTTCTACTTTCTGGGGATCACTTCTGGATGGCACACCTGAAGGGCTGTTGATCCCTGTATTCCAGACGTCCACAACTGGCCACCTGAGCAGCTCAGAATGATAAATTTGCCCTTCTCTGTAAACAGCTGTGGGAATCTGAGGCCAGAAGCACTCAGAAACAGCTAAATTTACCAACCAGTGGTTGGAAGGAGAGGGTATAGGGTTTTGCAGGGATGTGACAAGATCCTATTTTCCTTTTGAAGGATTTGGGGGAAGGGAAGAGCCTGTGAGGCTGAGCTTTGAGAGGTGGGTTTGGGAGGCTGTGCCTGGAGGCTGTTTCCCTTGCCCAGGCCTGGAATTACAACAGGAGGAGTGGAATAGAGGAGACAGGGTTGGACACTGCATTTTTTTTTTTCAAAGATTCTCAGCTGACTCTTTTGTGCATCAGGGATTGAAAACTCACTGTACAAGGGATCGACTGAAGCAGGTGATAGTTGCTGTGGTGAGTGACACAGAGACGCACAGGTAAACTAGAAATTTTCAAGAACCCGCAGGTCAACAGCCAAGGGATTAACCCGAAGCACACTGCACCCTGCCTACTAGACCCACCCAATTCATGGAACTGCACTTCTGACCTGGCCTGAGATGTGGTCCACCTGACACTTAGAACAAGGGAGAAACACATGTGATCCTGCTGGGGCTCAGGGACAAAGGCTGTGAGCATTGTTAGCTTTTCAGCCACACCTCAGGACGTGTGCAGTTCTCCACCTAGATGCTTAAGAGCTATCCTGAACATCTATGTTTTCCTCCTCCTAGAATCCGCCAAGCTTCTCATCTCTCTCCTTCGTTACCACATTTCTCTTCTTGCTCTCAGCCACCAGAACAAGGCACAGCCGGGACTCACACCTACCTGTCCTCTCTGTATAGGCTACTAGACCTCACCATTCCAACCATAAGCAGTGAGTCTCTGACCTTCACCTTCAGTCCTGATCTTGTTTCTGAGCCTCATACACATTTCCAACTGCCCACCATGCTGCTTGTGCTAGGTATTCACAGATATTTCAAGTGTAACATTATTCAATATATTATTTTGTAGGATCAACTCTTTTTTAAAATCTCATTCTACTTTTCTTACCTAATGTCTTTTCATCTTGGTTAATGGCCTCTGGTCAGTCACCTGAGCTACACAGCCGGGTCATTTTTTACCCCCCTCACCCCCCCCCCCCCCCACCACTAACGCGTTGAAACGGGTCCTGAACTATGAACTATGATCGTGGTGCAGGTTTAGGCCTGGGGACTGGGGGACGACGGTCCAGGCAGCATAGTTACCCGTCCTGGATAAGGTAGTACTTGAGGATCTCATCGATCTTGGCAGTGGGGGTGGCAAAGCAGGTCTCCACCAAGCTTTCCAGGCCGCTTACGTGCACCAGCGGCTCAATGCCGAAGTACAGGGAGTCACGGAGCTTGAGCGTGGGCAGGGCCTCCCGGTATGGCTCCTCAAACTCGTTGTCCTTGAAGATCTCCAGCGTGAACGGGAAGATGCCATGATTTCGGCCCACCATTTCCAGGGGCAGGTTTCGGAGGTTGGGAACATAGCCCTCGGAAATGGTGTACAGGCGTGGGAACTCACAGGTCACTGGGATCAGAAGCTTGCTGGTCCTGATGATGATGTCCCCGCTGCTCCCCGGAGTCTGCTTCGGTAGACCTGTCACAAGGTTGGTGGCCACGATTTTGTCATTCACCACCTGTGTCAGGCCAGTGCAAAGAAAAATCTGTTTATTTCCACAGTTTCTCCTCTTCTCACCTTTTTCCCCTAAAAATCTGATACATCAAAGCACATTGCAGACTTAGTAAAACACCTGAAGGGTTTTTGGTTTTGTTGTATGTTTTTTTGTTTTTGATATGTGATCTCCTAGTGTTGCCCAAGTTGGCCTTGAACTCTTGGGCTTAAATGATTCTCCCACTGCTGCCTCCCGAGTAGCTAGGATTACAGGCACTGAAGCTTTTTTTTTAATTGTGTCACCCTCCCCCAAGCAATAAATCCTGACTTTTAAGAGTTTTATGCAGGACTTCTTAAGCCTACACATTCCTTTCGAGCAGTGCTCATGAAAACTGATCCATGCAGAATCAGCAAATTCCAAGCCCTGGTGTTTGAGAAGAGGACAGCGTCCACATGTTGTTTCCTCAGGAGCTGGAGACCTGGCGATCCTGTGGCAGGTCCAGCACTGTGCTGGGCTCGTCCACACAGGGAACTCAGCACCACGTGAATGCAGGTGATTTCAGGTCCTTAGCTCCAGTTCCCTTGGCTTTCCTGTGTACCAGCCTACTGCAGGCATCAACATTGGACCATCCACACAACAATCCAAACTGGAACACCTGTCCCTTGTTACCTGCCCCGTGTCTCACCGAAGCTTAATTAGCATTCTGGTTTCACTTAGTGGAATTGATAAATAAATACTCATGCATGCAAATGAGAGCCAAGGACTCTGCACTGACCTGTATTTGGGTCCTTGTGCTCCGTCCATCATTCTGGTTAACCCACCATCCTGGTTACCCTATTTCCATGGGGTCATGCCCAGATGCCTCTCCCCAGCATACAGGGCAGGCCTTTGGAAGTGTTCTCTATTGCCTGCTCGCCAGCCTGAGCTCCCTGCCAGGCAGCCTGCACCGCACCATTCCCTCAGCACAGGTTGTATGGCCCTCTCTCTAAGACTTTGCTCACTTGTTCTCCATCTGAAAGGCTCTTTCTTCTCCTCTTTGCTTGTGTAATACACACACACACACACACACACACACACACACACACATACTCTTGTCCCCTTTCTGGACTTCCAGAGGCCCTTCATCTGTCTCACTATTCATCCCTCGTTTATGTTTTAGGTGCTGTAATATCAGTGCTGTGTGAGCACCTAACAGTCAGGAGTTGTTTTCCATATTCCCCTCTGACTCTCTAACACAGGACTCTGTGAAGATTTGGGGTAAAAGAATAAACCTTTTCCTTCAACCGGGTTCAATACTTGCGCCCACTCACTCCCCACAGATGAACCATCAGCTCAGTCTCTTTCTCCAAATAGAATAACTGGCCAGAGGGGACATAACCCACCTCTCCGTACCTCTGGCACACTGAGACACTAGTGGCTGTTTAAGAAAAGGAATGGCAGAATTCTTAATTCCATCTTCTCCCAGTGCCAGACAGGAGCTCAGTGACACACTTGTTAAATGAATGACATCAAGTGTTTTGAGCTTCATCCATTCATTTATGTGGAAATATCTCACCTATGAGATAGTTACACTGCACTTCTCTGTCGACTACCTTGCAAGAAAGTGGGTTTTGGTCATTTGCCATGTCCACAAAAGGAACTTACATCAACCACTGTGCCACACGTCTTGAGGGAGAAGAGGAGGTTGACATGGGTGCCGTTGGACACTCCTCGGCAGGAGGTATTGGTCAGGAAGAGCTCCAGGCCACCGACCAGCTCCCTGGGGACACTCACTTCAATGGTACTTGACTTGCACAACACTGGGACTGTGAGGAAAGAGGGCACCTGTTAGAAAGGGGAACCTGCATTGGAAGGAAGGTAAGGAGGGCTTCTGGGGGACATAACTTTTCCTCACACAACTTGTGCTTTTGGTTCTGTCTTCCAGGAAATCAATTGATAACTAGAGCCAGCATTCCTAACTTCGTGATTATGGTCATATAATACTCCTCAGATATTGTATTCAAGTTTCCATTCCACAAACATTTAAAGTATGGCTAGCGTAACTCCATAAAGTAAAACACCTGGATTAACTTTCAGTGCCAACACAATTTATTGGCAATACAGGAAAAGCACTGCTTTGATATAGGCTCAAATGACACAACAGTACTGGTGATTTTACTGTTAATTATTGCCCCATAAAATAGAGGTAATAAACACAGTGTTAGCACACTTGGGGAAGGCTTCCAAATTGTCCTTTCAGGGCTCAGTAAACCATAAACTCTGACTATAAATTCCACTTTAACTTAATATGAAAAAGATTGCTTTTTCCTTAGTATGTGCGCTTCTCCAGACTCTACAAATACATGAGAGTCCAAAGCATGAGTACACATTGTAACAATGGAATATATTAAAAAATCAGATGTAGGTACTCATTAAATATTTGCTGGGTGAGTAAATTAATATTCAATATTAAGAACAGATTTTCAGAAAACAGTTCTCAGAGGACTGTTGCTGAGAGAAGAAGCCATCCTCAGGAATTCGACGAGGAGGAAGTGTAGCTCAGAGCAGAGGTCCAGCTCATCCGTCTTCTACCTTGACAAGTGTGGTTATCTTCCGATAGCACCAAGCCCCGGGGACACTCGCACTGGTAGCCTTTCTCAGATCCAAGGCAAGAATGGCTGCAGCCGCCATTGTTATTGTGGCATCCTTCGATGTCTGCAGTGAGAACCAACAGAAAAGGGAGTCATCTCCCAGCCACCTTTCTCACAAATTCTGGCCTTAACATCAGGGATTATACTTGACTCATGGCGGTATCCCTGGGATCTAACCCAGTAACTGAGACATGTAGGCAAGCCCACAAAAATGTTTAGTAAATGTTACGGCTACAAAGACCAAACTTCCACCATCCTGCTGTACCCACATAAACTGCTGTTCAGGCTTCTTAGAGGATCTTCTTCAATTTGGTTTTGTCTGACGTTTTTCTCATGGGGTCCTAGGTATTTAAGTATAAATTCAACTGGATGAGCTGGGTAGATCCGAGTTGCTGCAGATTGGCTGGATCATTGGCCCCTCTTCCAGATAGCACACTATAAAAATGAGGCCTGGGGACTAGCGACATGACTCAATGACAGAATGCATGCCTTGTATGTACAAAGCCCTGGGCTTAACCCTCAGCATTACAATCTTCTTCATCATCACCATCGTCATTTTTGTGGGACCTGGGCCTTATCTTGTAGGTTAGGGGTTGTCAAACTAACCTGCTACACATTGTTATAAAGAAAATTGGTATTTTTTCGTACTGGGATTTTAACTCAGGGCCTACACCTTGAGCCACTCTACCAGCCCTATTTTTGTAATGGGTTTTTTTGAGATAGGTAGGGTGTTACAAGCTATTTGCCCAGGCTGGCTCTGAACCACAATCCTCCTGATCTCTGCCTCCTGACTAGCTAGTATTATAGGTGTGAGCCACCAGTGCCCAGCATAAATAAAGTTTTGTTGACACACAGCCACAACTGTATATTTACCTTTTGTGTATGGCTGTTTTCTCACTGTAAGGGTAGAGCTGGATAGTTTTGATTGATTCTGTATGGTCCACAATGTCTAAAATATTTATTATCTTGCCTATTCAGAAAAAGTTTGCTGATCTCTATTCTAGGTTAAGATAACAGAAGAAAATGTTTCAAAAAATCTGAGATGCTCAGGGAATGATACAGTTGATTTCTAGTACAGATATAGCCCTATCAGTTTAATGATAGTAAAAAAAATTTATTTGAAACATCAGTAAATTAATTTGAGCTAAATCAATTTTTGTGAAATACAGAGGAAGAATAAATTTGTGATCAATTAATCTTTGCAAAACTTAAAAGACATTAGGTATCACCTGCTTATAAAGCTATATATTTCAAAAGGCTATAAGCACAGTTCATGAACTTTTGAAATAGTTTAAATTACATATAAAAGTGTGGAAGAAAGTATAAAATAGGCTATAAGATGTTAAAATCAAAATTAATAGTTTTTTTAGTATAGAGATAGAACCCAGAACCTCATATATGCTAGGCAAGTGCTCTACCACTGAGCTGTACCCCAACCTCCAAAATGACTTTTGTTATCATTTTATTTCTCTGAATTGTATTTCAATATTTGTAAAACAAAGGGCTCACCCTAGAGGATCACACAGGATATTCTGAGGTCTAAAAATGCCAAGCCAGAAATAAGCTGAAAATCTAACTTGCCTTAAAGCATTTAAAGTTTCTTAGAAGGATAAACCTCAGCATTTGGAATGGACATACCTGCTGTGGGTCAGTTTTGTTACCTTCCTTCTACTCCTCTGCATTTTCCTATACTTTTATATAGTAAAGCAAAATATTAAAAATCACTTAAAATTTTAAAAAGTTAATTAATTTTTAAAAAGATATAGCTATTAAATAGTCCCACTAAAGAAACAAGTATGCTTAGACTATTAATAAAAACTTAAGGGTTATAAATGGGAGTATTACTCTTCTAGTATAACTCATACATAATTTTTATCTTTTGCTAAAATATTTTTCAGTTACAGTTTTAGGTTTAAAGATTATGTGAGTTAAAATGTTATCATTCGCTGGTAAATGGATGGAATTGGAGAACATCATTCTGAGTGAGGTTAGCCTGGCCCAAAAGACCAAAAATCGTATGTTCTCCCTCATATGTGGACATTAGATCAAGGGCAAACACAACAATGGGATTGGACTATGAGCACATGATAAAAGCGAGAGCATACAAGGGAGGGGTGAGGATAGGTAAGACACCTAAAAAACTAGATAGCATTTGTTGCCCTTAACGCAGAGAAACTAAAGCAGATACCTTAAAAGCAACTGAGGCCAATAGGAAAAGGGGACCAGGAACTAGAGAAAAGGTTAGATCAAAAAGAATTAACCTAGAAGGTAACACACATGCACAGGCAATTAATGTGAGTCAACTCCCTGTATAGCTATCCTTATCTCAACCAGCAAAAACCCTTGTTCCTTCCTATTATTGCTTATGCTCTCTCTACAACAAAATTAGAAATAAGGGCAAAATAGTTTCTGCTGGGTATTGAGGGGGTTGGGGGGAGAGGGAGGGGGTGGAGTGGGTGGTAAGGGAGGGGGTGGGGGCAGGGGGGAGAAATGAACCAAGCCTTGTATGCACATATGAATAAAAAAAAAAGATTATGTGAGTTAATCATAATAGTGCTCATGAATAATTACAAATGTTCCTCATGGAATATTTCATTAATATTCAAATATGCAAAAATTATTGCATAAAATAATTAAGATTTAAGGAGAATTCAGGAAATTACCTTTGTTCAACAAAATTTAAAATATATTTAGCATTGCTATAAGGGAAGTAGTTAACAATGTAAATTCAGATGGATGAACACTAGTCATAATTTTTCCTTTTGGGTAGCATTTTATTATTTTGAGTAGGAATAAAGTGAATTCTTATAAGCAGTAATATCACTATTAATCCACAAATTCAATTATCCTGTAGGGAAAAAACCAAAACCATTTATCTGTCTGTGTCACACTTTTTGCTGAGAGTGTTATAAAAATATAGTTTGATGAAGGTGGAGGGGATGAAAGTTTAGGCTGTGATACTTTGCAGAGGTAAATGTGCCTTAGAAAAGGAACATGATCTGAGTTTCATATGACAGATTATCTTTTTGTGCTACTGGGGTTTGAACTCATGGCTTCGTGCTTGCTAGGCAGTTGTTCTACCACTTGAGCCACAACTTCAGCCCTAATAATAGGCTGATAAAACATCATGGTATCCCATAAATTTGCACAATTATTATGCCAGTTAAAAAGCAAAGGTAAAAATAATAACAGTAGACACTTGCCCTTCAATTATTTGATACACATGAGGAATTCTTTTTTGTTACTTAGTCATATAAAATGTATATAGCTGTGTACATTTTCTGTTAAAAGTAGATCATGACCAGGTGCTGGTCATGCCTTTAATCCTAGCTACTTGGAGGTTGAGATTGGGAGGATTGTGGTTCGAGGCTACCCTGAGCAAATAGTTCAGGAGACCCCATCCATCCAAAATAATCAGAACAAAATAGACTTGAGGTATGGCTCAAGTGGTAGAGTACCTGCTTTGCAAGTGTGAAGCTCTGAGTTCAAATCCCAGTCCCACCAAAAAATAATAGTAGAACATTTTATTTATCTCCAAAAAATGTATTAATCTCCGATAAATACAAGGCACACAGAGGTAAAAATGGCTTCATATAAAATCAGTTTCCCAAACCTCCAAGACAGTAAGAATCACACATGGAACTTGTTAAAAATGTGACCGCTACAGCTCTACCCCAGCCTGCTGTGGCAGAGACCTAAGAGAGAGCCTAGAGGGGCTGGGTGTAAGGTCCTGTGATTGTCATCAGCAGGGAAGGCTGCCACCTGTGTCAAGCTACCTACCTGCATGATCTTGCTTCTCTAGGTGTGCCCCTTGGAGAGGGGTCACCTAGAAGTTATTTGGAAATGCAGTTATCCTGACCAGATCCCAGACCTACTGAATCAGACTTTGTATTTTACCAAGATCCTACATGATTCATGGGCACGTGTAAGTATGAGAAACAGGAAATACCCTATTTTAATTTCCCCAATAAAAATATGGCTTTCTGCCTTTTGCAAAATTCCCTGCTGTTAAAAATCTTGGAGACAAAATTGACCCTGAATTCTGTCTACAACATACATGCCGTCACTCATCATGAACCCTTCTGTCATTTCTTTAAGCAGCCAAGTGGTTGCTGTCCTCTAACCCAAAGGCAACCTCCCAAATGTCAGAGAACAAGCCAGTTGCTTCCTTCAGACTCTGGACTTGAGCCCCTCCTCACCAGCCTCACCTTCGCAAGTCTTGCCATCACTCCTTAGCACGCGGCCAACCCCACACTCGCAGCGGTAGGAGTTTTTGAGGTTTACACAGATCTCACTGCAGCCGCCATTGTTCTGCTCACATTCGTTTTCATCTGTAGAAGAGAAACTACACCATCACCAACTGCTGAGCAACTCCCTCCAGTCCCAAGTCCTTGAGCAGCTCCCCCCACCTCTTCTCAGATCCTGCTGATAACACTGCACCTCCCCAGCTCTCCCACAATGATCGGTGTCAGTGTCGTCACTTCTGGTAACCTGGTCTCCCCAACAAGTTAATTATTTCATCTCTCTCTGCTGAGCCAAAGGCGCCCAACTGCTTGTCACTTCCCTCCTCCAAGGGCAAAATTGTTGGGAAGGAAAAGCCTGGTGTGTCCTGGATACACCTGTTGATTTGTATTGGTAAACCTAGATTTCTCCAAGGAGTTTCTAAAAAGTTGTTAACTACAAGGTCACAAATCACACTGTGTTTTAAATCATGAAAGTAGCTTATAGTGCAGGCAGAAATAGCTGATGAAATATTTGTGAGCTAGTCTTGGCTTAGAACATGATCAACTGCCTAAAAATTTATTGTAAGTATTGAAATTCTCTCACATTATTCTCAAGCAATGATTGTTCACTGTTTTAAGAATCTGTTCAAATATTTGGACTCTTGCCATAAAAAAGGCATGTTGCAACAAATGTCTACCTCTTTCCTTCTGCAAAGAAAGGGAAGATTGGGAGCTAAATTTGTCATGGCCTCCTGGGATAACCAGCCTAAATACAGGACATAAGTCAAGGACTAGGGTTTAATCACCCACAAGGTGACAGGATGCATGGCCTTGGACCCACAAAAGGAGATGAGTTGGAACTGAAACTCAGCTTAAGTCCAGGATCCAGAAAAGCTATCCCTCTGCTGTGATTTGGATATGGTTTATGTGAACCCACAGGTTCCTGTGTGGTAAGCTTGGTTCCCAGTGTGGTGAAGGTTCCAGGTAGCAGGACCTTCAAGAGGCGGGGCCTTGTGGGATAGTTAGGTCATCAGGGCACTGTCCTTGGAGGGGATTAACATATTTCTTGTGGGATCCCAGTTGCTCTCTGACTTCCTGTGATCTCTCCCTCCCATATGTGCTCCTGGCATGATGCGGTCTGCCATAAAGCCTTCCTCAGAGCTGAGTGGATGCTAGCGCCAGGTCCTTGAGTCTCCACAACTGTGAGCTAAGTGAACCTCTTCTTTAGGAGCTACCACGCTTCAGGTATTTCATTATAGTAACAAAATGGACTAATACAGCCCTCAATCAAATCAAGAGTAGAACCTTGCAGGTAGCCCAGGGAAGCAATCAGGAGGCTCTCTGCCTGAGGCTCTACATGAGAGAAAAGTCTGCCATCACAAACAATGAAACCTCGAGCCAGAGCCTGCCATGGCTGAAGTAGAGATTTATACTTCCCACATAGTGAGAGGAACTTAAGCTGAAAGACTGATACACAATTTGGCCTGGCCTGGCCTGGCAGAACGTCTGTGGTTCCAGGCAGAAATATTTGACAAACTGTTCAGTGGTAAAACTGCCTTGAGCCAGAGCCTCAGAACAACCCTGACAGCAGAGGAGGTTCACCACAAAACACTCCACACAATCCACCAAGAGAGAGGCCACACCAGGCAACAAGAGGCTTTGAGCACCAGAAAGATAAAATGAAAGGAAAGTAGTGACAAGATATGTGTAAAAAGACAAGGCAGAACTGAAAACAGAACTCGCAGAAGTGAAGGGTGCAGTCACTAAGACTGGATTCCCTTCTTTCCTGCCCTCACTATGCTGTCACAAAGGGGTGATTAGAGGCCAGTCCTAAATGTGGACGTGGCCACACCTGTACCTGGCTCCTTCAAGGTCTCCATTCCAAGCCTGGACTGCTAACGTTGGACTGAATTTATTTTAGTGTGAGGGAGAAATAAACTGCTATTTATTTATAGCCAGCTTAGACACTCTAAACTCCAGCACTTCTGTTCTTATTGCTATACCCTAGAAAAGATCTCATACACGAAGTGTCATTTTTATGTTAATTTTAAGAACTCATAAAACAATACAATACTCAGGATATGGTGGTGAATGACTGTAATTTCAGCACCCTGAGGCTGAGGAAGGAGGATTGTGAGTTCAAGATCAGCTTGGGCTACATAGTGAGGCCTTCTCTCAAAAAACAAACAAAAACAAAAAAGCAGAAGAACAAATTATATAGTATCGTGTCATGGATACAAACATAAATAATAAATAAATAATAAAAAATAAAAGCATAAGAAGAGGGATCAGAATAGATTCTGACTTCACAGCTGACCTTGGAGGGTGAGAGGATGATGGGATGGAATGTGGCAATTTGATTTGTGACTGCAAAATTCTATTTAAATTTTTTAAAAAAGGAAGAAAAATTTAACCACAGTTAAATCAGGGTACATATCTGTTTTTATTATTTTCTTACACTCTTCTCTCTGATTGAAAAAATATATAATTTAAAATAAATAATTGTTACATTTAAGTGAAAGCTAAATGAAAGCTGAAATTGACATATGCACATTAGAACAAAAGTCTGCCTTTAATTTCAGAGGACTCGTGATCTCTCTGAAGTTCCACAGACCCTAGGTAGGAACTTGGGGACTTGAGAGGCAAAGCTGTTCAAGATATATCATCCAGGAAGAGATGTATGTGCTATGCTACCTTTGATATAAAAAGAAAAGGTCAATAATCACACAAATATTTGTATTTTTATCTCTGCTTGAACAAACCCTGGAAGCACACACAAGAAATTAACACACTTTTTTAGAGCACACTTTGAAATGAACTTACAGCATATTTAATTTGGATACTAATTTTTCATCAGAAACATTTTGGTCTGTATTTACAGCTACCAAACACAGATGAAAGTTGTCCCAAACATTTTTGGTTTTTCCAATGACTGAATTAAGAATCAGTTTTTAATTTAAAATTAACTAACGTTATGATTTGGAACCTCAAGCACACTGCTCCACTGCCACTTGGGACAGATGGCCACTGCTGCAGATAGTGCAATGCTGGACTGTCCCTAATCACAAAGTAAATCTGGCTTGAACTTTAGTCATGAACGAAAAAGGCAAACATCACTGCAAGTGTTCAGAGGCATAGACTGAAACAGTGATGGAGCACTGAGGAAGAAGAGATTTTGATTTGTCCTTTTGATCACAATAGCCTGTGTCCACCTCATGATTAGTTTCTTACCAAAGCATGTCTGTCCATCGGGACCTAGCAAAGTTCCTGGAGAGCACGAGCACTCGGTGTCCAAGCAGCTGCCCTGGCAGTCCTCGTCACAGATGTCATAAAAATCTGCAGAAGGATAAAGGTCACCTTTCATAAGAGGTGGGGACCAGAGGACACTCACTCTTGAGAGTCTCATGAGTACAGTCATGGGGTGCAAGTTCCCAACCACTATCACGAAAATTCTCCCGGTTCAGGACTTGCACACTCAGTGGAAAGAGAGAAACTGCTCTGGGCATCTCCTGTCACTTAGATCAGTGATTCCCAACTTCAGGGCCACAGGCCTGTAGGTGGTAATAGGGTTTCTGAAAACCTAATGCATCACCAGAAGTGAACTACAGACTAAGTCAGGATTATGCTTTACTTTTCTACGGACTCTTGGAGGGGCTGGGGATGTACCTCAGTGGTACAGCATTTGCCTAGCATGTGTGGGACCTGGGGTCAATTCCCAGTACCACAAATTAAAGAAAAAGTATACAGATTTTGATGGAAGTAATAACACAGAAATTCACTTAAAGGTATTACTGACTACAAGAAGCTTCTTCTCATTACATATCATTTTAATAAATCAGTGGATAATAAACACAATGCCATATGTGCATGTCTGAACACTTACCAACTGATCAATCTAAATATCTTAAAAAAGGGTTCTCTATACTCAAAAACTTTGGAAATCCACTACTGAGATAACCTAAACCAACTTTTCATTTTCTAATATTTTCTTTGAATGGAATAAGCCAAACTAAATTAAAACTGATCAAATTCATAGTTCCTTTTTCCTATTTCTTCAGGAGCTTTTCAGAAATTCTAAAAATAGATCTCAGAAAAAATAATGCCTTGGAGATATCTTGGGCCCCAAATCAGTGTTGTTCAGACTCTGAGACACTACTGCCACCATGACTGGATTTCATGTGGCACTTTTTTTTCTCTTTGATTCCATCTGTGGCCTTGCTGGGGAGGAAAAAAGCCCAGGAATGTACTCACGGCCACAGTAGACATGAAAGCAGACGCTGGGCTTGGCCAGACGATACACATAGTAGCCTCCAGAACAAGCCTTGACCTCCACTGTGGTGTTCCACAGGCAGCAGTTCCCTTTGAAGCTGGCACAGGCCTGGTGTTGCACAATGCCGTCACTTTCGAGGGGGTGGCTGCCATTGAGCCAGACAGGCGCATGGGTTCCACAGTGGTTTTCTGGTATGCAGAAGGTGGGCATGGCATCTCCCGCCATGCCCGTGAAGCGGTACCACTCCCCGTCCACGTGGTTGTCACACAGAGGTGTGCCTTGAGACTCATCAAATTGGTGCTCAGTGTTCCTCCAGGGTTCATTCAGGCTGATGTAAGCAGAACAGGGATCTAGAGCTGAGAATTAAGAGAGACCTCAGAGCCTCCTCATGATTTTTCAGACCACAAGGCCAACGAATGGCCTAAGTCCACCTCTTGCTCTTGCATTTTGGCTTTTTGGGGGCCATTCTGGGGTTTGAACTCATGGCCTCACACTTGCTGTGCATTTTGGATTTTTTTGAGTTCGTTATCTACAGTCCTCAAAGAGGAATTGTTTGAGGCTCCTTAAACTTGATTTAAACAAGTTTCATAAATGCCCTTCGCAGCATTATTTCAAACCTATTTAAGATTTTTTTTCCATTTCCTTTATTCATATGTGCATACAATGATTGGGTCATTACTCTCCCCTTCCCCCCACCCCTTCCCTCTCTCCCCTACCCCCTCACTTCCAAGCAGATACTGTTTTCCCCTTATCTCTAATTTTATTGAAGAGAGAGTATGAATATTAATAAGGAGGACCAGGGGTTTTTGCTAGTTGAGGTAAGGATAGCTATATAGGGAGATTCCTAGTTTTGCTTCCATGTACATACGTGTTACTTTCTAAGTTGATTCTTCTTCTTCTCAAACCTATTTAAGATTTACTGTTAGCATCGGACTAGACTTTTTATCTAGAGTAATCGTTTGATGGAAGTCTTGTTATTCATAGTGTTTGCATCAGGAGGCTGCATTTTATGAAAGCAATTGACTAATTTGTCTAGAGGAACTGGCCAGACTTAGAAGGGGTTGTAGGCATTAGTTACTTGAGAAGAAGCTGAGAACTAGTTTAGAAAAAAAGAAGATTGAAGAAAACATCTATCACTTTTCAGAAATCTGGGACAGGGGACTGGTAGTGTATCTCAGTGAGATTGGCAGGAACAAGGCCCTGGGTTCAATTCCCAACACAAAAAGTAAATTAAAAAAAAAGTGGAACAGGCCTGTGGAAGAGGAGTTAAGTATTCTGTTACAGAGTGAAAGTGAATTGTGGAAAAGCACAATTTAGTTCATGGGAGAGGCTATATCTCAGTGTACCTAGCTCCCCATCTTTGGAAATTTTCAAAAAAAAAAAAAAAAAAGGATCTGGGTGGCTATATGTAAAGAAGAATGTTGCATTCGTGGGAAGTTCAACTGGATGAGTGTGTAAAGCTCATTCCACTGAAAAGGAAAAGGCCTCAGACAAAGTTAGCTGCTTTGAAACACACAGTACTCTGGCAAGGGGTCACCAGAGATGATATGACAGTTTGGGACAAGAAATAAGTAGGACATTGCATTTTCTGGAAATAACACATTTGCAGAGCTGCAGAGGGCAGGAGTAACCTTCTCTTTAAAATGTCCCTGACGTGTCTCTACTGAGCCCCAGATGGCTGTTTGATGTCCCTGGAGGGGAATAAATGTCCTCAGACTTGCTCGCCTCTCAAGAGAGAAAAAAATGTCCTCCTTTGCTCTCCTGCCTGTAGCTCTCTTGCCAAGCACAGCTTCCAGAGCAATTTCACAGGTGATTTTAAATTCATAGAAATATTTCACTCATCTCCCTGGCTCTAATTTTATAAGGAATGGTTAGATACTTAACCTTTAATGGTTTCTACAGAAATTCCCGTAATGACTGTTCCATAATTCATAAAGTATTCCTTATAGTTAACTGTCATTTCTTATGTTGTTAACAAGTTTGCTTCCCCTCCTATTGTTGGGGAGGTATGGCATGAGGAAGAAAAATTTATCCACCATCTGCTGTAAAATAACAATAAATTCAAACATTAGCCACTTGATATTTTCTGACATTGAATACTTCCATCCCACTCCACCCCTTTTTAAGACAGTCATTCAATCTTTAATAATCTGACCACTGTGCTAAGTCCTGTTTCCAGCCTGTGTGGAGCCCAGAATCTGGAATTATGCATACTGACCTTGAGCCACCTATACAAAAGAACAGCCTTGTAGGTTCCTCCCAAAGGGTCCCCTGCCTGCATAAGCCTGGGTGGTTCATGAGAGACCAGCTGCAGGGCCCAGAGCACAGTCCCCATCTCTTACCCTAGGGCTGCTGTACCTGGCAAGCCACCCTGGTTTAGTTGAGATCGTCCCCTTTGCAGGCCCTGTGCCCATGCTGGGTTTGGAAGCCTCTTCCCTTCTGCCCCTTCCTTTCCTCCCAGTTCCCACTTTCCCACCTCTCCTATTTCCCCACTCCCTCTCTCTCCTTTTCTCACTTCCCCCCCTCCTCCCAGGCCCCCAAGTTACCCCTGTGCTGAAAGTACTGGGGACACCGTGGGGAGGAGAAATAGGAGGATATGGAGATGCTGGAGGCAGAGTGAACCTGGAGAGAGGGGAGGGCAGGGAGGGAGCAGCTAGGAGCAGACTTTTATGCCTGAGGACCCTTGGTTAGTTAAGGGCAGCAGACACTGGGTAATTAATGGCTCAGGAGCTCCAGCCTATTTTGGGGGACAGTTCTGATTTACAGAGTAATCGAGAAGCTAGTACGAGAGCTCCCATATACTCTGCACCCAGTTTCCCCTCACACACGGTGTGGATACACAGTGTAGCTTAGCATGGTGTCAATTAATGAAGCACTCTTGATTCCTTATTATTAACTCAAATCTACAGTTCATACAGATTTCCTTAGCTTTTACCTATATCCCTGCCTGTTCTAGGATCCTATTCAGGATAGGTATATTGTATTTCACTTTCCCATCTCCTTAGGGTCTCAAATCTATTTTTAATGTGTATCCTTAAAGGTGAGAGAGCAAGCCCTAAATCATGGCAAACAAATAAATCAGGGTCTAGTACTGAGCTATGCAAAAGTGCCAAGAAGGATGGTTCCTTTCGCCCTACCTCCACCCCTTCTTGCAATGAGAGCTTCTGCTCTACAGGAGAAAACGGTGAGCGGGAAATGTGCTAGTAACTGAATACCAACTTCCCTTGCCTGGTTGGCTACTTTTGCGCCAAGTCTGGGACCTCTTGCTTGGTATGTGCAAAGAATCACACACATTTTCAAAGGTCAAAACTAGTAAGTTTGTTTTATCCAGATCGGTGTCCCTTTATGAGGACAGAGCTTTCAATCCCCTGCATTCATTAAAAAGAAACCCAACTTTATAAATAATTTTCTACTCTTAAAGTTGGAACTTGTAAAAGTATCTACTATAAAGAGACTGGAATTCTTCTTACACATGCTCCAAGAACTATTTAGGTCATGGAAAGGTGTTAGGGCAGATCTCTGGAAATTTTGCATGCTCACACAAGAGGCTAAATGGAACAAATAACAGAATACTCTGAAAATATATTTTCACAGATTATAAGTGACTTTCCTTACAGGATTCTAGATCCAGGATTTAAAGTACTAAAATCAAATTCCCAATACACACCAACAAATTGCAACAACAAAAGTATATCATGCCAAGTTTTGACAGGAGACTCACCCCTGGGTGACACTGGGTTGACCGTGATGAAGAAGTAGGTGAACACCAGGAACCAAGGCATCTTTCTGGATTAACCACCAGATACAGAATGGAAAATCCTTTTAATACCAGTTTTCCTTTGTCCCCTTCTCAAGCGCTTAAAAAAAAGGAAGAAAGAAATGTCTAGGCTCTTATGAAGAAACACTTTATCAGCACTGGCTGGGTTCTTATCAGAGGAAGAGGATGAGGGGGATAAGTGTCCACTGCTCTGGCCTTGACTCCAGATACAGGCATTGCTTGATACTGTCAACAGGGTCATTTTACTGACATTTTTCTTTAGGAAAAAAAAAAAACCCTCACAATCCCTCATCCTCCTATTGTTTTCTTGCAGACTTCCCTGCAGGCAAACCTCCAGTATCTTATCCAGAAGGGAACTCTAAATGGGGGCCATCCCCTCACGTCAAAGTCTCCTTGTGTGACTTCTAGGAATTGATTTCAGGATTTTGCAGCCATGGCACTGCACAGCAGTCACATCAAATGGGAATAGGATACACCACATTGATGGAACTGGTTGTTAGGAAATGTCTTGGTCAGAAGGTCAAGTAGCTAACAACAGCACACAAAAAAGTAGTGACAGTCTGGGGGTTAGGCAGTAGTCTATCATTTTTTTTTTTGGGCAGGACTGAGGTTTGAATTAAAGTCCTTGTGCTTGCTAGGCAAGCACTGTACCAACTGAGCCAGGGCCAATATGCTCTCAAAACAAGCTCCTGCTTTCTGATCTCAAAACTTTTTTTTTTTTTTGGTGGTACTGGGGTTTGAACTCAGGGCCTTGCACTTGCTAGCAGGGGCCCTACAACTTGAACCACTCCCCCAGCCCTTTGTTAGTTATTTTTCAAATAGGGTCTTGTGTTTATGCCTGGGTGGGTCTAGATTGTGATCTTCCTATTTATGCTACTCCGGTAGCTAAATGAGAGAAGTACACCACCATGCCCAGCTTTTTATTGGTTAAGATGGGGTCTCCGGGACTTTTTGCCAGGGCTGGCCTTAAACCTCAATCCTTTGGATGTCTGTTCCTGGAGTAGCTAGGATTACAGGCATGAAACACCTCATCTTATAGACATGAACTTTACCACATGCTTTTTTTTTTTTTAAGGTAATTCAAACAATAATACCTAGTGTTTCCCCAAATGATCAAATGCTTCAGTGTTATTTCACTAAAACATGGGGTAAAAACTTAAAATTAGGAATTACTCATTAAATCAGTAATACTCTGGAAAGTTCAGTGTCAAAATTTATGGGAGTTTTACTTTTAGACAAAGGAGGAAAAGTGTAAGGACCTGTATATCACATGTCGCCAGTCATAGCCATAGTAACTTCAGGTGTGAGGGTTACTAGCTCCTTGAGGACAGTGCTGAGGACATCTGAACATTAGCAAGTATTGTTACTGAAGATGATGTGAAAAGGAAGGACAGGAGGAAGGGCAGGGAAAAGGTTGGTTTATTTACTACTACTTTCAACAAAGATCTGAGGGAAATACAATTTTTTTTCTTCTAATCGAATTTTTTGGTCTCAAAGATTGATGCTTTGAACTTTTATTTCTGCACTCTCTCATCTATGTTAATTTTCCTAATAATCAGATTTCTAGTGACTGGGAAAAGAATACTGCATTGGGGAAGCAATCTTTAAACTTGTTTTCATAATCTCTTAGCACTTCCCCCCACCCCAAATTATTGTGGCCTCTTTCCTCTCGAGGCATCAGTTCAATGAAACTTCAGTGCTTTGTAGAGGATAGGTGGCAGCCTAATTCACTGTGTTCTGCAAGCAGTTACAGTCTAGCAAGGGGTTTCTATTCCCTAAACCTGCAGCCAGCCACGTCTCACTAATGTTAGTAGAGCACAGGCAACTTGGGCACTAGTTTGTTAAATTGCAGTTTGATGGCAGCAATGGGTAACTCTGGGACTACCCTCGGCAGGGAAGTGCTGCTCACATGTCAGTGCTTTTAACAGAGAAAATAAAATCCCACAATTTCCTGTCTCTGAGAAGCCATCTGAGTACTTCATATGTGATGCAGAGAAACAGAGGACGTGTGTGTGAGATAAACCCAGATTTGCTGCCAGGATTCATGGCAGGAGTCAAGGACTTTTACTAGATAGCCCTTTGGCTCTGTAAACAAGAATTCTCAGGATGGTAGGATTGTTTTCCCCCTCATTTCCTTTTTCAGTTGACCTGCCTGGTTTTTTTTTAGATGATGGAGAACTTTAAATATGTACATAGAGCAACAATGGGTATCTGGCTGCAATAATTACTAATGTTTTATTAATCTTATTTCATTTATATACCAGTATGAATTTCTAAGATATGGTTTTTCTTATTTGCATAATCATAATGTCATTATTACAACCATGAAAATTAGTAATAACTCCTTAATACCTAATACCACATTCATAAGTTTCAAACATGTCTTTTGATCTGCAGTCAGATGCGTTTTCATTGTGCCACTGGCCTTCATTCAAACATTTCTTTTTACTAACGGTTTGAGTGAGGATTCAAACAAGATTTATGCTGTACATTGCATTTTGCTGCATCACATTAAATTTCCTTTCATCTATAACAGTCTTGCCTCCCTTGTGCCCCTGTCACTTGTTGAAGAAAGCCAATCATTTGTGCTATAGAATGTCCCATGTTGGATTTGGTTGATTGGTTATCTTTCATCTTCCCCTCTCTCGTATTTAATTTTAATGCTTGTTTCCAATTTTTCTAAAGTATTTAGCTATTAGGATTTAAAAAGAGAAATACTCTGGTAACACTGAAGGAATTTATTACACAGAGGGCATTTAGAACACATCAGTTAGGAGGTGGGGACCTCTATCTGCTACTCTGGAGAGCTCTCAGGTAAAATGGCAAGTTGTAGGTCATAACTGAGACATGGGAGTGGTTTAGATTGCCCATGGAAACCAGGGTCCAAGATGGAGTCTTGGGGAAGCCTAACATCAAAGATGTGGACAGATGCTGGGTGCTGGTGGGTCATACCTATAATCCTAGCTGCTCACGAGACAGAGATCAGGAGAGGCAGTTCTAAACCAGTTTGGGCAAATAGTTCATGAAAGACTATCTCAAAAAACCCTTCACAAAAAAAGGGCTGGTGGAGTGGCTCAAGATGAAAGCCAAGTTCAAGCCCCAGCACAGCAAAAGAAAAAAAAAAAAGATGTGGACAGAGGAAGAGGATGCTGTAAAGAGACTTATTGGAGGAAACCCAACAATGGAGTCCCAAGAGCTGAGGTGTGGGCTGGTGGAGGGGCTTGAGTGCTAAGAGCATCTGCCTAGCAAGCACAAGGCCCTGAGTTCAAACACCTGTGCTGCCAAATAAATAAATAAATAAATAAAGCTGAGGTGTTTTAAGGCGATGGGGCTGCTCAGCATGTGATGAGTTTACAAAATATATGCAAATGAAAATGTATAGTGCATAGCTTTATATTCAGTGCTATTAATCTACACATTTACCATAAAGAAACAACCACAAAACGCATTATGGAAGACATGGAGTTTGGACTTATTTGGCAGAGCTAAGAACTATGAGGTTGGTGGCAGAGATAAAAATGAATGACAATACTTACAGTTTTGGTGAAGCTGAGTCCCCAAATCTAAATAGTTTCTCTTTTCTATGAAGTCATTCCAGAGAAGTCAAAAAATTCACCCTAAACATATTTGCTTTTGAAGGCATCTACGGGTTCACCACTACCCTCTGACAAACAGGGTACCACATTAATATAAGACTGGAGTTCTGACTGCATCTTTGTTTCTATTTATCAAAGTCACCATACTCACCAATCCTCCAGCCACTCGGTTTGGATTTATGGATGAGTGGTGACACTCTGTGCTTCAGTTTCCTTCTCTTTAGAGAAAGATTGTTTAGATCAATGGTTGTCAGAATCACCAGCTAGGCTTGTTAAAATATAGATTTCTGGTTCTACTCCTAGATTTGACTTGCCAGGGAGGCAAGAACTTGCATTTTTAGTGATTCCCAAAAGATGCTGAATTCCTGCTCCAGGGACCACACTCTGAGAACTTGTCTACTTTTTCCAGCCTTGGAAGCCTATGTCCACTCAACACAACTACATTACCACACTTAGCAACAGATTTAATACTGGCCATGATCTATCTCTAATGAAAACTCACTATGGTTTTTCATTGTGACAAAATTTACCACTGTAACCACTTGTTTGGTTTAGTGGCGTTAAGTATAATCACATTGTGCAACTGTCACCACCATCCATCTCCAGGACTTTTTCATCTTCACCAACCAAAACTCCATAGTACCCATTAAACAATAACTTTCCTTTCCCCATTCCCTAGCAATCACCAGTTGTACTTCTGTAAATCTGACTACTTTAGATACTTCATACAAGTGGACTCATAAAGTATTTGTTCTTTTGTGACTGGCTTATTTCATTTAGCATGACTTCAACGTTCATCCGTTATATTACATCAGAATTTCCTTCTTTTATGACTGAATAATATCCCATTGTATGTATAAACTACACTTTGTCCACCTATTCATCTGTTGTTGGACACTTGGGCTGCCATTTTGTTTATCCATCCATCTGCTGATAGACTTGGGTCTGCTCCTGACTTTTAGCTATAGTGAGTAATGCTGTAAGGAAAGGACTGTATTCCAGAAGTGGAATTGCTGAATCACATGGTAATTCTTGGTAGCTTTCTCAGGAACCCTTAGGATGTTTTCCACAGAGCATATATATTTCAATCTCACTAGCAATGGGAAGGGTTCCAGTTTCTCCACATTCTCACCAACGTGTTTTATTTTCTGCTTTTCAGTAACAGCCATTCTAAATAGTTATGATTTGCATTTCTCTAATGATTATAGTGATGCTGATCTTTTCATGTTTATTGGCCATTTATATATCTTCTTTGGAGAAATGTCTAAGTCTTTTGCCAATAAAAACATTATGTTTTATTTTAAAATAATCTTTAAATTGTATTTTAGAATAATCTTTAGTTTGTAAGCTCCCTATAGGCAGGAATTTTTTTTTTCTTTTTTTGAGATGGGGGTCTGAGTGTGTATATAATACAAGCTGGTTCCTACCTCAGCCCCTTATGCACTGGGATTACAGAGCTGTGTCACCATGCCTGGCTGTTTTCATTCCCTGAGATGAAAATATATTCCCTGAAAAAGTTAGTTAACAGAATAAATGTGTGGCATATGTAGATATTATTTGTTGAGATCAAACAATGGCTTAACATTTTCAAACTTATCTTTTTCTATCTTACACATCTGAGACATATACCTGACCCATCTCAGGTATGTCAGTGGTAGGAGGCAGGACCACACTTGTGGAGGCTCTCTGAGTATCACCTCGTACTGCACTAAAGCAACCAGATACTCAATACATGCTTTTGATATGCCTTTGACAGATGTGGCTGCACGGGGTATTTTCCTGATTAGTGATCACTGTAAGTTTGAAACTATCTCTGAAAATAATGGATACTTAAATCTTATCTTATCCTTGAACAACTTTCTAGAATCCAAGGTAATCCAGGTGGTTTGAGGCAATGGAGCTTTTTCCTGTCAAAGGAGATGAGGAGATTGGGCTCAGTTCTGCTGCTGACCATATTTATGTCTACTGAGGTCATGTGACCTGTTGGTGGTGCTGGAAAATTAGAAATATAAATGACCATCTTAGGTTCATGAAGAATTAGTAAAATGTCTGTTTTGACATACAGAGTTTAGGAAAAAAGCTTAATTTGATAATGGTATTTTATAAAACCCAATTTCAAAGTAAAAAATCTTTCCACTGAGAATCACAGGAAAATAAAGTTTCTGTCTTGTTTTGTTTTAAAGAACGAGATGCTATAATTCAAAAATTGAATAAGTATTTATTGTTCCAGAAGGTACATTGTTTTTTATACATATTTCATAAATGATACAGGATTGTACACATGTTCAATATTTTGCTATTGTAAGGACTTTTCTCCATGTCTTCCCTCCCTTACCTCCCCCCGCCAAAAGGATTTGCTCATTGCACTGTGCTGTTTCTTCTTAAAAAACCCTGCACACAAACAGGATAAATGGTTTAAAAATAATCCACACAACAAAAACAAAGGAGGGAGGGTTGAACAACGGGAAGGAAGTGGGAGGTGGGCTGGGGAGTGGAGACATGCATCCTTTCATTCCGTCATGCCAGTGAAGGGTGCTGGTGAGGCAGCAGCAGTCCTGGCTGGCCTTCAGCCTCTGCAAGGCACGTGGAGTCTGGGTTTGTCATTCTATCATATACAATGATCCCAAAGGAGGAAGAAAAAGAAAACCTTTGCCACATAAGGAGGGATGAATCATGTGAGAGAAAAGAGCCAATCAGCTGTGTGGCAAGCCCCCATCATCCTGGCCATTCTGCCCCAGAACAGTTAAAAACAGGATATTAGACACAGATTCCTTTGACTCTTCAAGTACAGATGCCACCTGGAAACATGGTAGAAAACATTTTGATAGAGTATAAGATTAATGTTTCTTCCCCTCAATTTAAGATAAGAAAAAATAGGTGGAGAAGGTAGGCTAAAGAAAGCCATAGAAATGTATTCCTGTATAAAGATAAACTGCACCCTTTGAGATCCACACCCTTGATTTACAACCTGTGGTGAGGTGGGAGGGCTCACAAACGGAGTGGAAGTCTGTGTCCTTGTACTACCAAAGCCTCCAGACACCTCAGTGCCACCTGGGTGGCCTGGAAGGCTGTCACAAGCAGATAAACAGCAATGAGATTAATTCTGGTTCTGAAATGGCTATTGTGCCATGATTTTTAGCCAATTTATAAACCTTTTATCTTCCTGATTTGGTAATAGAGCTGAATATCCCCCCTCTGATCTGAGTTGTAGAGGGAGTGGGGATTTTTCCTCCTTTGAAAGACTAATTCATAAAAAAACAAAACAAAACAGAAAAACCTCATGCAGTATTGCCAGTGATTTCTAGATACTGATCCAAAGCACGGGATATACAGATAGTCCAAGTGTCAATTACCAAACAGTTACAAACTGGTTCTAATCATCACTTGGATAAAATTAGCATAACCAAAAGATATAGGTAGGTGGTCAGAAAAGGGGCCTAGGAAGGAGACATTCCAGTAACTTTGCAAGACTGGGTCTAACTTGAAATAAATGTGAATGATAAGGCTAGGACTCTGCTCACCACCTATATATCATGAGGATTTATTTTTCTGGTATATTTACTCCTATGTCAAAAAATAAAAAATGTTAAATTAAAAAAAACAGAGTTGAGTGGGGCGCTGGTGTGGTACTGTTTTGCTGATTCTACAAAGAAGATGCAAGAAACGAACACCCCCAGCATCATTCTCTATGAACCTCTATGAACCTCTATGAATCTCTATGAATGGCATCATTTCATCCAGAAACTGAGGTGCTTGATTAAGACAATAGTCACTGAGCCCTTTGAGCTTATATTCCACAATACCTGATCCTTAGATTTTAACATTCCTTTCTTCCCTAAGATCCTTTTTGTTTTATAATTAAAGGTAAAAACCCTCTACCCCCCACGAGGCTCCCAGCTTCCACCTGCAATGCTTTAATTAAAAAGGCAAGAGTTATAAACAGGTCATCTCTCTGCCGGGATTCACAGGCTCTTTGCAGATCAGTCTTTTTCACCAATTTGTCGGAGGGGCAGATGTACTTGTAATGGGTCTCTCAGTCTCTTAAGGTCCATTTCTGCCTAAAATAGAAACAAAAGGTGAGAAAAACTACTAGTGCAGCTTTCAATGACATTACTACTTCCAAGAAAAGGAAACTGTCAGGGTGAGTGTGATCAAAGTACATTACACATACACATATATGAAGTTAGCATAATGAAACCCACTAACTACTGCTTGAAAAAAGGGGGGTCAGTTAAGAACAGAATAGAGGGGGTGAGTTTAATCAAAGTACACTGTATGCATCTATAGAAATATCACTGTGAAACCCTTGTGTACAATTAATGTACGCTTACAAAAAAAGCACCAGGGATATGGCAATGAACAACATAAAGTCTCTGTCTGTATGAAGCTTATGCTTTAGTGGAGGATGTAGCCAAACTTAAAAATATGGAATGCATCAATAGTGAAAAAATAATAGTATACTTGTAAGTATGTGTTTTATATCTTTCTTCCTTGTCAGTGAGTAAATTCCATGAGGGCAGAGGTCATGTCTACTATGTTCATTGTTACTTCTAGAAGATTCAGCATGGTGCCAGGCACATAAAAAGCACATAATATGTATTTTTGGACAAAAAAAGGTAAAGAAGAAGAAACTGTATTTGTTCCACTAGTAGAGAGTCAAAGATCGTTTCAGTTATTCTGAAAATCAGAAGACAAAGGGCTTTAACCCAAAGCACAGGACAGCAAAGATGAAAGTCCAGAATAAAACTCTGTCTTTGGCAGTTTCAGCAGCTAACAAAGCCCACCAGAGAAAGGCAGTGCTATCAGAGGATAGGACTCCAGAGCCTTAGGATGTAGCCAACATCTGAGTCTTACATATTGATAGCATCTTTCTAGTGAGAAGCCCTCTCACACACCTTTGCAGGGAAACAAAATTTTAACTTATACTACTTAAGACTACTTACCCAATGTCTGTTAAGTGTTTTACTTAGCTGGTGAATTTCAGTACAAGGATGTACAGTCAACTGCACCACTTTCAAATCCTCCCTTGCCTGTGAGGAGCTGGGTTAATAAGCTTTGGGTGGGGCTGAAGCATCTGTTATCTGTACAATTCTAGAGATGATTATGATTGGGATTACCTCCACACAGCTGCAAACCACACACACAGCAACAGAAGACAAAGTGTACTCAGGCCAAGGCAGAAAGATGGATGAAGCCTATTAAAAGCACAACCTCATCAAAAAAGGCAGAGAAGGCCCAGAGAAGAGCAGGTAAGCATTAAAGAGGATGGAAGAGCTTCTCTAGAAGCTAAACTGTGACCCCCGAGGTCACAAAAGACTATGGAGAAAAGAAATGAGGACTTACTCACTAAAATCAAAGGTATCAGATTGAAGGCAGCTCACCCAGAAATTTGAAAGAGGTATAGGCCTCATGAAAAAAAAAAAAAAAACAACAATCTTTTTAAAAGAGATTCTTCTAGTTAAATAATACTTGACCTATGCCTGGCAAAAATTTCTCGTAATCTCTTTCTTATACCTGGATTTTACTTTTGCCCCATTGCTACCAACATTTTAGTTGAAAAGTCTTTGGGTCAATAATTATAGAAAGGAGAAAGAAAAGCAGATAGCTCTAGTTGAAAAATAGACAAATTTAAAGGAACAAAATAGAAAAAAAAAAAAAGGTCTAAAAATTTCATTGTGCTACAATTAATAGGATAGATGGGACCTACCCTCTCTTTATCTGCTCATGCTAGAAAAGCTACAGGAGTATCTACTGCTAGAATAGTCATTTTTATTAGCCGAGAGATAATTTATACAGGAAAAAGAGGATTGGGTCATTCTTTTAAGTTTACCATTTGAAGAACTGTGGTTATGGACAATAATAATGCCACACACGATGGGCCTGGGATTTCTTCTAGTTTTTACAAAACGTACCTGAGCAATTGCATCCTTGAGTTGATTGTATCTCTCTAGGTCAAAACGTGACTTTTTGGCTCCTTTATGGAAAAATAGTAAGTATTGTCTGTCTCTGGCTTCTGGGTAAACATATTCCTAAAAATATAAAGAAGAAATGATCTTATTAGTCCTTAGCATACTATCCTCACAAAATAAGCATTTCCCAACTTGACTGGATATGACACTTAAGCATTCATAAAGACATACTGACATGTGTCATGTTAAATATTTAATTACTCCTTAAACATTTTTGTTTTGTTTGTTTTTGTGTTTTGAGACAAGTTCTTGCTACATTTTCTGGGCTGGCCTGAAACTCCTGGGTTCAAGCGATTCTCTGGCCTCAGCTGGAACTACAGGACATGCCACTGCACCAGGCTAAAATTCCTCTTTTGTAGCTGCGGTCTATTCATTTTCATTGATGTTATATTATATTGTATGAATATTCATAGGTAAATACCCACTCTACTATTGATACACTATGGAGTTATTTTCTGGTTTGGGCTATTATTATAATACTTTCAGGAATGCACCTCCTATGTCATAGGGCATGTGTTCAAATTTAAGAGGTAATGGTGCCGGAAGTGGTAGACCATGTGTGAAATCCCAGCAATATGGGAGGTAGAGATCAGGGAGCTTGAAGTTTGAGGCTAGCCTGGGCAAAAAAGTTAGCAAGACTCCATTTCAACCAACAAGACAGCCATGGTGGCACATTCCTGTGGTCCCAGCTACATGGAAGGCCACAGGTAGAAGGATCATGGTCTGAGGCTAGACCTGGACAAAAACGTGAGACTCTATCTGAAAAATAACTAAAGCAAAAAAACAAAAACAAAAACAGGCCCAGGGGTGTGGCTCAAGTGGTAGAACTGCACAATGTTCTGAGTTCAAACCCCAATATTGTTAAAAAAAAAACCAAAAAACCCCAAAAATGTGATGGTAAACAGGCTTCCAAAATGGTTGTACCAGCAATGATCCTACCAGCAGGATGTGAGAATTGCCCACTCCACACCCGTGCCAACACCTGGTTTTGCTAGTCTAAAAAATGTCAGCCAACCTAGCATTCGAGCAGCAGTATCATTTCACTTTTAAACAGGTTTACTGACACATACCACACATACACTCTACCCACTTGCAGTATATTCAGCAGCTAGTAGTATATTCACAGAGTTGCGCAATCATTCCTACAACTTAAGAACATTTCATCACCCCCAAAAGAAACATTTTATCCTTTTTTTTTATTGGTACTAGGGTTGAACTCAGGGTTTCACACTTGCTACCCAGGCGCTCTACCAGCACTCTGTGACTTGAGCCACACCTCTGGCCTGACATTATATCCTGTATCAGACACATCTCATCTCCCTCAACACCTCCAGTTCTAGGCACTACTAGTCTACCTTCTGTTTCTACAGATTGCTTTTTTGTTTTCATATAAAACGAATCATACAACATGTGGGCATTTGTGTCTGGCTTCTTTTACTTAGCATGATGTTTCCGAGGATCATTCATTTGTAACAAGTATCAGTATTTCATTTCTTTTTATTGCCAGATAATATTCCATCGAATGGATATACCACATTTGTTTCCCATTCATTAGCTGATAGCATTTAGGTTACTTCCATTTTTTGGTTATTGTGACTAATGCTATTTGAAATATCCATGTGCAAGTTTTTGTATTGACATGAATTTTCATTTCTCTTGGAGAAACATAGCATTTTCCTAATCATTCATGAGGCACAGATCTTTTCATTTCATATATTACTGGCCTTCTGCTTGTCTTCTTTTAGAAATGCTATTTGAAGCTCTTGCCATTTTTTTCTTTTGGATTGATTTGTAGATTTATATTCTGCATATGGATCGTTTGTTGGATTTACATTACTGTAAATATCCCCTTTTAGATTGCTTACCCCCTTCCTGGTGTCCTTAAATAAACAAGTTTACTTTAATGTAGTCAAATTGTTTACTCAGCCTTTCTGGTTAGCACCTTTCACTGTGTAAGTCATGCTCTGTTCCAGTCACTCATATATTCTATTTCTCAGGAGCTTTGCTGTGCTACTTTTCATATATAGATCTCTGATCCATCTCAAACTAGTTTTTTCTTTATTGTGTGAAGATAGGGCCATTTCATTTTTATATGGATATGCAATGTCTATAGCACCTTTGTCCTAGCACCATTCACTGAAAAAGACTCTCCTTTCTTTGTAGTGCCATCTTTTAACAATCATAGGTTCATGAAGGCTGGGAACATAGTTCAGTGGTAGAGTGCTAACCTAGCATGTGCAAGGCCCTGGGCATGACACTTCTGCAGAATTTACTCCTCTAGTCATGGACATACTACAGCATTCCACTCATTAAGTCTCCTTTATGTTTTTCTGCTAGAGGCCTTGCAGATCTTTTGCTTTCTAAAGTCTGGGGATATAGCTCAAAGGTACAGTGCTTGACTAGAATGTGTGAGAACCAGAGTGTGATCTATAGCTCTGAAAAAAATAAATAAATGACCTTTTGTTTTATGGTTCTTTTTCTGAGACAGGGTCTTACTATGTAGCCCAGGCTGGCCTTGAACTCACAATACTCTTGCCTCTGCCTCACAAGTAGGATTACAGATAAGTGCCATCACACATGGCTAAAAGGCCATTTTAAGGTACATCTTAAAAAAAACTTCACTTTCTATGTGTTGCTGGCATACAGATATGCAGCTGACTTACATACATTGACCTATGGTCACTAACCTCATGCAAAGCATTTGTAGATTTTACCTAATTATCTGTATAAATAATTTCATTTATTTCTCCCTTCCTTTTCCCTTTTCTCCTTCCTCCCTTCCTCCCTCTCTCATTTTGTGGTGCTGGGGATTGACCCCCAAGTCCTTACGTGTGCTAGATAAGTGCTCTACCATTGAGCTACACTCGTAGTCCTCTTTTACTTTTTTTTTTAAATGTGCAATATTTATGAATAATGTCACTTTTCTTATTTCATATATTATTCTTGTCTTCTGCATTGGCTAGGGTTTCCTGTTCAAAGCTGAATAGAAGTGGTGCTTTCCCTGTTCCCAGATAACAGAGGGGCACCAGAATACTTTGTCTAGTTACCCACTCCAGAATTACATGACATTGTTGTATATTTCAATACTCTATGTACTTTAAATTCCATAAGAATTTGTCATTATTGTTTTATACATTAAATGTTCATTTAATTCACATATTTACCATTTTCTTTGCTTTTCATTTCTTCCCTTTTCTCACATTCCATCCATGATAATCTTCCTCTGCCCAAAGAATGCCCTGTAGTATTTCCTTTAGTGCAGACCTAATGGTGACAAATTCTGTATTTGTCTGAAAGTCTTTATTTCCCCTTCATTTTGCAAGATTTTTTTTTTCTGAGTACAGAATTCTAAGTTGATGGCTATTTTCTTTCAACACACTGAAGGTGCTGCTCTACTATCTTGTGGCTTTTCACTGTGCTGCACTTGGCCCTTTGAAAATAAGCTTTTCTTTCCCTTTGTGGATGCTTTTTAACATTTTTTCCCTTTGGCTTTGGTTTTGCTATTGATTTTTCTAGATGTGCTGATGTCTTTCATCATTTTAGAAAATTCTTAGCCATTAACTAAAAATGTATTTCTTCTAATTCTTTCTTCTTAGAGTCCAATAAAATTAAGTTTGTTAGGACTTTCCACTGAATCCTCTGTATCTCTTACCCTTTCATATTACATATTTCATTATTCCATCATTATTTGTCTTTAGTTATGTCTAATCTGTTGTTAAATCCATCTTCTATATTTATTTCTAGAATTTTCATTTGGTTCTTTTAAAAAAAATCAAGTTATCTGCCAATATTCTCAACCTTGACTTTTATCTTCTTGAATATATTTATTTTACGGCCTAGCTCTGACAATGCCAATATTTGATCCCCTATCTGTGTCTGCTTCTAATGCCTATTGTTTCTGTAGAAATTTCCCTGTGTGTCTTAGTTGTTTCGTGCATGACTAAACAATTATTTGCAAAATTACTAGTCACATAATTTAAGGTTTAGGATGATGTTATCTCCTTCCAGGCATTACTTACGCTTGCTTCTGCCTGAACCTGTATTCACTTTGGAACTAGCTAGAGTCTAGGATTATCCCAATAATTTATATGAGTGAAATGAATAAGTGATGAGCTACAGTCTCTAAAAGAACCCTACAATAAGCTCATCCTTATTCTACAGATGGTGACTTTCAGAAGTTCAAAACCAAAGAAGGAGTATTTCACTTGCTTTAGTGATCCCTGGGTATTGATCTCTATGGCTCTGGTCCTTCAAGGTTATCAAGGATGGATCAGCTTCTAGGTCTCTCAGTCATCCCCCCTCCCTTAATTGACTTAAATCCCCAGAGGAAAAAGTATACCTAAAAACTAGGCTCACCTTCTTGGGACTCTTATGAGCCTTGCCTAGTCATTTTTGTTATTTTGTTCTCTAGTATCTTCAGGCAGACATGTATTATATTCCATCTAACAGCTGTAACTTACCCTAATGGGACTGGTCTGAGTGTCTAGACCAGTTTTACTGCGACAACTATAAGCAGAAGTAAATATTTTAATTATTGATAGCAAATATTGGATAAATGGTAAGTCAAATGGTCTGTGGAGGCCTTTTAAAAATGGGTAAAAAAAATTTAGGTCTGAGGACTGGAGGCATGGCTCAAGTGGTAGAGCACCTATTTAGCAAGCTTGAGGCCCTATGTTCAAACCTCAGTACTATAAAAAAATAAATAAAACCCTGATGTTTGAGTCAGTAACATGGAGTGAAGGAATAATTGCTGGATTAAGAACTTGAGATAAAGCCCTCTACCATCATCTAAATTACAACTAGGTTACTTACCTATCTTTACCTAGGATGTAAATGTAAATTAAATTTATTCAAATCTATTCTATGCTTTCTCTTGTTGGCCACAAGCATTAACTGAGCAATTATGTGCTACAATCTAGTTTAAAAATTTTGTGAATTCCATTTACAATAGCCTCAAAAAAAATCAAATACCTAGGTGTAAACCTAACAAAAGATGTGAAAGACCTCTACAAGGAAAACTATACACTTCTGAAGAAAGAGATTGAGGAAGACTATAGAAA